TAATATATTTTGGGAACCCCTTTTAGGAACATGCCCCCCCCCCCCCCCCCCCCCCTTGAGGAACACATGCTTTGGGCTTTCACCGCAAGCCTCCCTTAGTATCAAGAGTTAGTCTCTATGACAAGCTCAAAACTTATTAAATATAGAATAGCGCTAGATTGCGAATTTGGACACGGGACGAACACTATTGTGTTCAGGCCAATTTCTACATTCTGTAGATATGCTAAATGAGCAAATTTAAACACTTTCCATAATTAGCATTTGGGACCGAAATGAGACCAACACTAAGGGCATGATAGTGAGGTGTTTGGTAGACACGGTAAGCTATCATTCAGCAATATTGAGGGACTATTCTCAATATGCGAGGGTTCTTGATACTAGCAAGTGCAAGTCAATGACAAGAGTTTCTCAAACCAGGCCGAATATGTTCAGCAACAAACACATATACCTTATGTTTATCCGATTTAAGTACACGGTCATTGACCAGTTTCTCAACTAGCTCAAGTGGGAACAATAAAGGGAACCAACTGTACCGACCTTCTACCGTCATGGCAGTAAGGAAAGAGTGTCCATAAGGATTGGCCGACAAGTATCTTTCGATACCCGAAGTCACATTCGCGACATAGGTTTACCTTTGCAATTGCCACGAGCTGCCGATGCTAGTCATGGGATCAGTATTTGACGAGCATTCTTCTACTTGTTCGAGTGGAGTCTGCCGAACACTTAGGCCATGTACAAGTGGGACAACAATGGCACTACAACTCTTATCATCATCCACCTGTAGAATACAAAGTGGATGACTTGGTGTTAATTTGTTTTCCCCATCTTATAATACATGGTTTATTTAAAGGGTTTATTGTTCAGTGGAAAGGACTGTATCCGGTGTTGCAGTAAGTTGGACCACAAGTTTATGAGGTTCAGCATGATGTCCAGCAAGCCAATTCTCCAGAAATTATGTATATGTAGCTATTGAAATGCTTCATACAAAGGGATCATGAGCAATTAATACCACCTACAGATCTGTCAATGCCTCCTCCTGACATTCCTCTATATCCCAACCCATTTACAAAAGAATTTTGATGGTCTTCCATTATCCCGAATAATGTAAAGGCCAAGTGTACAGCTATGATGCCGTATACTAATACTAACATAATGGGATTTTGGTAGTTATTGCATGCTCCTATATATAAATTAGGGTTTTTAGGCTAATTAAGATATATATTTTCTATATTCCCTTTCCATATTCCAACCACTCAAAATAAACACTCACAGTTTCATAAAATGTCTTAAATGTGTTACATCTTTTATTTATATTTTGTAATCTAACTGGCATGGTGCTACAAAAACAAGAGGCGCTCAAGCTTGCCAAAGCTAGTTTCCAACACCTCGGCAGAGAAAAAGGAGCATCCACTGCTTACCTTGCATGCGTGGCTTCCCCTGGTACCTCTCAAGCACGCCATGACGATGCCGTATCCCAAGGTTCCCGACCCTGTCAAGAAGTTGTTGATTACTAGCACCGCTTGGCGACTTGATGCATCGCGGCGGCTATAGTGTAGGGAGGTGGGATATCGAAGCGGACATCCAGTCTTGGTATGGTCAGCTGCCCGATCGACCCCCCCTCTACTCGTTCTTCACGATCTATTACTGGAACTACCTCTCGCAAATGGTAGGTCTTTTCCGCGACAAACACGAGGAAATCTTTGGATCTTTCGAGTCAGGCACCATTGCGAGGCCGGAAGGATGCTTGTTCCGCCGGGGCGTCGCCACTCCCTTCTTGCTCGACTTCTTCAACTTGCCCGACAAGCTGGACCTGGTGCAAGACAGGCTCGTGAATTACATGGAGATCACTGGAGCTCGCTTTGGGGTGCTCACGAATCTCAACTCGTCGTGGCTGTGCAAGAGGGCTACGGCGAATGAGCTCCTGGTCTCGTCGCAATCGCCGGATCCTCGCGTGGGCGTGGAGGAGACCAAACAGGAATTAAAGAGAAGTATGAGAACGCGAGTGAGGGGTTAACGCAGAAGAAGGATTGGGGTGGGGACGAGGGTGCCAAGGCGATGCTCAGGGACGAATACAAGGATGCCAAGAAGAGCATTGCGAGGCACGATGGCGTCGCAGAGGCCACTGACGCAGTGGAGCTCGCGGACGCAGGGTCACACCAGAAAAAGGATTGAAAACAAACAATCCGCTCGCAGTGGAGGTGGAAGGAAGGACTGCCACCGCTGACGGGCGTGAGGAGCGTGCTGCCCAAGCTCGACTTCTCTCCCGTCCTTGAGATCTTGTGCAAGCTGAGCAACATACGCAAGATCGTCGACAAGGCAGTCACGGACGATGGATTCAAGGAGGCAAGTGGATACGCTACCGCTGCATCGCGATGGCAACGCTAACCAGACGGTGTTTGCTGTTCGAGCGAAGTATGCTGGACAAGACGTGGTGGTGAATATCAGGGACTTGACAAGCCATTACAAGGCTGGTATCAATCACGGTCTGGCCACGCTTGCTACGGAGGTGGACTGCTACACGAGGCTAGAGAACGTACAGGGCTCTGCGGTTCCCAAGCTTCTGTCGTGGGGGTTCCTCAAGGGGGCGATGTTCGTCTTCGTTATGATGACCGACGGTGGTTTCAGCGCGCTCGAGCAGTGCTCCAATCCTTCGAAGTTCATCTTAAGTGACGAGGGGGAGACTCTGAAGCAGGCGATGGAGTGCTTGCGCGCGATCCACAAGCGTGGGATTGCCATCCGCGACATCGACACGTCCAAGGTTGTGAGCAAAGTCGACGAGGCTGGGAAGCTGCATGTTAAGCTAGTTGGCTTTGGCGGTGCCCTGATCACGGAGGTTTTGTCCCAAGAGTGGTATGAAGCTACTGCCAGAGACGTTGCCCTGCTCGAGAAGGCATGTGATCCACTTAGTCCTGAGAAGTTGATAGCGGAAGTTGATAGGAAGCGATTGTTGGGGAAAGCAAGACGTGATGAAGAACTGCAGGCGAACAGGTAGGCGAACGGACATCTAGGTAAGGTATGATATCTGGTATGTAGGGGCAACTTGGTCTGTATCCTTTTCAGCTCTGCTTTATGTTTTTAGTGTCATGTTTGTATTTTTCTTCCTTTTTGTTCTTGCAACTTCTAGCAAGAACTTGGAGATATTTAAAATCGATTGGAAAGGCGACCCTCCACTCTTTCTCTCGAGCAGTGCGGCTGCCCTTCGATGCAGACACAAGCTGACCTCTCGTAGCCCTCTCTACAGTGTTGCAGTGGACGAAGCAGAATGACAGGAATTAGTGAAAAGCTCGTCGTGCGACGGGCATGATGTTGACTGACATCTTCGAAGAAGAGCTCAGGATCAAAGTTTATCACGCCATAAATAAATGACATTGTCGTCTTAGTTTTAGATGGACAAGTCATTCTTCTCTTGGACATTTACAATTGAGGACCATCCACACATGGCTGGGAAGCTTCATCCCCAGAGATCATCGCGATTTTGTTGTCACAGAACCCCCTTTTATGTTTTCCCTGCTTGGTCTGTTCGTGGCGTCGGTCATTCCAACAATTGAGTACGATTACACGATGGTAGGCGGTACATTATCCGAGAGATAATGTGCTTCACATTAGATAAATACCAAGCCAGCGCATTGTTTAGAAGTTTCAGAGATTCAACGCGGCGGTTCTTTGGTGCTGCGAGTCAACACGGGGAACACGACTGCGCATCTGCAAGCAAGAGTCAAGTGAGTAGCAGGACAAAGTTATGGCTGTAGGGTCCCATGCGTGAGAGTTGACTCTGGGAGGAAATCAGATTGCTTCTAAAAGGAGGATTGAGGGGGAGGAGGATCGGGGGAGATGGCGGCTTTGCTCTTATCCTCGTTGCTACCGCTGCTGCTGCTGCTGCTGCTACACACTGCTTCAGCCCTTCCCCTTTGCCTCAACCAAGGTGAGCGGTACCAAGTTTGAAATTTTCTTAGGGGTTTCTCTCGTCACAGAGGCTCCATTGCGGGATGTCGGTCAGCTCAGATTTTGCTCCCAGTACTCGGGGACTGGGTGCTGCTCGGCATCGGACGATTCGGCCATTGGATCCCAGTTTGCGGGTATGAATATCTCCGATGCAACTTGCGCGAACTACATCAAGCAAGTGCTTTGCTCGGTACGTGGCTTCTTCAAACAACTGCGTGAATTGAGCTCTCTCTTTCCATGGATAGAAATGCGACTCCTTCGCTGCTGACTTGTTTGGTGGAAGGAGACTCCGATCCGTCCCCCTGCTGTGCAACTCTAGCACCGGGCCCTCCAGCGGAGGCGGATACTGCTTCGATGTTTGGGATGCTTGCAAGAACCTCACCATCCCGGGCTCGCCATTTTCTCCTAGCCTTGTGGGAACGCTGCCACCGGGTTCGAGCCTGTCGGAGAACTCGTCTGCAAACGAGACACTTATCGAGCAGTGGCAGTCGAATACCAGCTTTTGTGAGGCTTTGGGATTGCCTCAAAAGGTGGGGCAGTTTTGCTTCGATGGGAGCACGTACAACTTTACCGTAGAGCAAAACGACGTGCCTCCCGCAGGTGTATGCTTTGACAAGGTTGGGGAGGACAACTCCATTGGTCTTGTTCCTCATCCGGATGGATCCAACAGGGCCTTTGTTGCGATGCAAACGGGACAGATATATCTTGTTCTTCTTCCGGACGAAGGCTCCAACACTAGCATCAAAGTCGACAAGGCGGCTCCGTTTCTCGACATCAGCAACTTCATCATATCTGACAGAGAGTTCGGCCTCATGTCCGTGGCCTTCCATCCCGAGTTTGTGAAAAACGGCCGCTTCTTTGTGTCTTACAACTGCGACAAGCAGAAGTGGGCCGGTTGTGGTGGCGCGCGCTGTACATGCAACGCTGATGTTGGTTGTGACCCTTCCCAAGTTCGCTCTTCCGACGGGACGCTTCCTTGCCAGTACTCGAGTGTCATCTCTGAATTCTCAGCCGGCAATGCAACCATATCACCTTCGCAGGTAGAAAGAGTTGTTTTTTCTTTCTTTTTTTCTCATCTTTGTTAGTATCCAGGCTCTGAAAGCGAACCCGAACGAAGTTAGGAGGATACTGTCCATGGGCCTTCCTTACACAACTCACCACGGCGGTTTACTGCTCTTTGGACCTCAGGACAAGTACCTGTATTTCATGATGGGAGACGGAGGTGGCATAGGCGATCCTTTCAACTTTGCTCAGAACAAAAAGTCTCTACTTGGGAAGATCCTTCGCCTCGACATTGACAAAACGCCAAGTGAGTCGATTCTCTTTCTAAGCGTGAGGTGCCGCGTTTTTACCTTGAACTTTCTGAGCAGCCGATCAGGAGGTGTCTACCTTGGGACTGTGGGGAAAATACTCCATTCCGGAAACTAATCCATTCCTTCGGCAGAACGATTCACGTCCTGAGATATGGGCTTTGGGCCTTCGGAATCCCTGGCGGTGCAGTTTTGACAGCGCAAAACCCGAGTACTTCTACTGCACGGACGTTGGACAGGTCTGTACATTTCTGTCTCTGCTTTGGCTGCTGAGCTTATCAAACGAGCTTATCAAGCGTTTCTGTGCCGGTTGCAGAGCATCTACGAAGAAGTGAACCTGGTTACCAAAGGAGGGAATTACGGATGGAGGACGTTTGATGGAGTAGCGAACTACAGTGCCCCGTGGTCACCAGGTGGAAACACGAGCCTTAATCCATTGCAAGCTATATTTCCCGTTGCAACTTACCTCCACGACAGCGTTAACAAGGAGCAAGGCTCAGCCTCCATCATCGGTGGCTCCGTTTCGAGATCGTTGCAGGATCCGTGTCTCTACGGCAGGTACTAGGCCTCTTATGTAAGATGAGTTCACATTCTTTGGTATCGCAGGTACCTCTATGCTGATTTATACGGAGGAAACATCTGGGGAATCACTGAAACTCCCGAGGGCAGTGGAAACTACACGAGTGCATCACTGAACTTCAGCTGCTCCGGCTCGACTCTGGCATGTAAGTATGTGAGCGGCAGTCCACTTCCCGATATCGGGTTTGTGTTTGCGTGGGGCGAGGATAACAGCAGAAACCTGTACATGCTCACTTCGGCTGGCATCTTCAAAGTTGTCAACCCCACCAAGTGCAACTTTACTTGCACCAAGAAGCTTCCCTCGTCAGTAACAGCCCCAGCCTTAACTCCCATACCCACACCTCCTACCGTTCAAGTCGCAGCACCACCACCATCTCCAGCATACGCACTAGCCAGGCCATCTAGTCTCTTAGTTGCCGCTCTTTGTTTCTGGATGCTTTTCTACAGATGAAGCGAGTGCCTAGTTTTGTAAGTGTGTCTATGTAATATATGGAACTTCTTTGCATGCAACACCAAGGTTACAAGGTGACTCTTTGAGTTTGTGTATCTACTACTGAGGCTGAGTCTGTGGTTTCACGTAGCAGCTGCTGATTCTCTAGATCGTTCGGGTTTGGACCTCTTTCAAATTCCCTTAGAAGGCTCCGAAACGTTGACGACATTCGGCGAAGAGGTCCTTGGGCTCCTGCATTGTCGTTGGTGAGAGCTGCGAGCGAATGCCTCCTATGAACTGCTTGTGCGTCATCGGCTCGATGCTCGTCTCTCCTCGTCTCAAGGTCGCACGAGAACCTACGAAGTGGATACTTCAAGAGTGACTGTGGAATGATGTTTAGGCCGAGCACTGTTTCCGGGAGTTGATGTGCTGCTGCTTCATCCAAGAGCTGCTCCTGGCTCTGCCCCCAAATCAGTGCGTACAAGCCGACGATGACAACGCTCCCCCCTATGATGCTGCGGTGATCACGCTGGTCAAGTTTTGCTTCTTGAAAGTGATAACATTACACGTACCTTCCCAGCTGCAGGTCTTCCTTGAGGAACACCATGCTGAAGAGAGCTGTGAAAATCGTTTCCAGTGGCTGGTACGCGGCAACGATCACCGGTCCCTGTGTAAGGACTCCCCATGACTGGATCGAAGACACGAGAGCAGAACCAATCACTCCCTGCGCCAAAGTTGATACTTGATCAGCAGAAAGTGAAAGAAGCCTTGATCAGAAGTGTCTTACAGCATACAGGATGGCTAGAGCTTCTGAAGTGGACGTGATCTTCCAGTTATTCCACTTGTAAAAAGCTCCCAGTAATGGCGTCTGGATCGCACTTGAGAGGCATGTAAACGCTGCAAACGAAACTGGGGATGGATATCTGTCCAGCACTGGCGCCTAGAGCATATAAAACAACGTTAGAGATAGTGTAGTGTAAATAAAGAGTGGCATTTCATACCTGGAGGATGAGAAAGCCTCCAAAGGCGATGCAAGCGAGTGTCAAGAAGAATGCTCCGATCTGCCAGGATAACATGGAAACGCTAAACCCCAGCAAGCGAAGAGTTTTCCTGGCGTCGGCCTTGATATGTGACCCAGTGGTCCCTGCAGTTGAAGAGATGGAGATATTGCTCTTGATGACAACGGGTCCCCTATAGATGGAGAGAATAAGCGAGCCACACAGTCCCAGCAAAGACCCAAAAATTTTGAGCTGTCCATCTCGTCTCTTTAGATCAACTTTCTCCAGCCTAGTGTCAAAACGAAGAAAATATAGATCTATCAGTATCACACACCAGTATCACACACCTCCACAGAGCGGCTATGACGAAAGTGAAGACTGGAGTCGAGTTTCGCATGGCCGAGGCGAAGATGGCCGATGTGTACTTGAGCCCTGCCAAGTAGCAGACTTGATTAACGGTGACGCTGGAAACGAAAGGCCAATGGTGAACTCTAATTCTTATCACTGTGTCGTGGTTTCGTGACTCACCCGAGGAATCCCAGTCCAAACAAGTAGAGCAGCGTCCCAAGCTGTGGCCGCTTGTGCTCGCTGTATATCCCGGGATCGACATGGATGAGCACAAACAAAGATGAATCTTACCTCTCTGTCCAGGCTGCTACGGCTCCAAGTACCAGTGATGCAACGCAGTTGCGATAAAATGTGAAAGCCAGTGGATGCGTGCCAGTAGCGAGTGCGATGCGCGACAGAATCTCAAACCCTGCAAAGGCGAGCTGGGCGAGCATCAGGTAGCCATGCAACCGTCCTTGCTGCGACAACATGGCGCTTTTCCGAGAAGTATATAAACTCTAACAGTGTGTCTGATGAAGCGAGCGAAGGGGATGTTGTGGCGGAAGGAAGAAGCGAGACCCGGGTGCGTTTGACAAGAACAAGGCGACAAAGAAGAAGAAAAGGAGAACGAAAGTGTCGTCCCCAAGTGCTCTAGGCAAGTCTCTAAAACGGGACAAGGGAATGAATATCAAGCTTTGTCGTCCAACCTGTGGTTGATCCTCATGCACAGGTGTGAGCTCTTTATTGTTTTTTCAAAAGGCCGCACAATCAAGACAACGCCTGGTGTTGGATCAGCCACGAGGTGCAAAGCAACTGACGCAATGCTGACATCGTATCGTACAAAGTCGGAAAGAAAAACTTACAAAGGGGTCATGGTTCTCAGCGTGCTTGTTCCCAGCACGCATCCAATGACCGTTCCAATCGTGTATCCCAGCGTCCCCACTAATATTGAAGGCCGAACCTGCAACTCACAGGCTTAGAGATGTTGATTGTGTGTGTACCAACCAGTTCTTTCCAGCAACGAGCGTTCGCCATTGCCGCAGCGGTTGCCGGGCCGCCTATATTAGCATTCGATGCAACCAATAGCTGAAAGACAATCCTAGTTAGAAGCGTCGTCCAAAGGAAACCTATGTATAGGTACCGCGCGCATTGGGATCTTGCACTGCGATCCAAGGCCGAGTGTAAAGCCCAGGTGAGTCTGCGAATCACGGGGTCACGGGATGAGAGAGCTCGATTTCATGCCTCTTACCAAGAGCAAAAGAAGGATAAAAGTGAAGAGAGGCCAGCCAGCTGAAACGGCGTCACGTATGCTGCAGGATGCACCAACCTGCAAACGCTCTCGAAAGATTAGACGCGCGGGAGACAAAAGCGCATCGTACGTACCACTGCGAAAAAGAGGAGCATGAGAGCGCCACCAATGACTTGAGAGCCCGCAAACACGGCTACGCTGGTGCCTCTTGCGGAACGAGAATGGGAATGGGAATGGCACGCCCTCGCTGCAACTGCTGAAAATGCAGACGCCACAAGCGCCATGATGGCCAAGCCACAACCTGGAAACATTTCAAGAATTAGATGAGTGATCCAAGCGTGCTGAAGAGACCTGCCTGCGAATGTGGAGGGAAGAAGTGCCGCGAGAGCGTTGCCAATGGTGCATGATGCAGCAGCGACAGTAAGAGATAAGATGATTGTTTCGCTTGTTGGTTTTGCGTCAAGTTCAGAAGCCTCCTCTGTAATACAAGTCAGTCTTCGTAAACAGAGTAAGAATTTCAGCCAACCTCGAGTAATATGTGGAGGTGGTCTCCGAGTGTCAGCGGGTATCCACATGATAATGCCGAAGTAGAGAACCATTGCAAGATTATCAGCAGCGATTCCAGCGGCAAGGGTGCTCCCCGAGCTCAGCTCGAGCGCCTTATATTCGTCTTCCAAATCGTCAGAAGATAGAAAAAGAAAGGAAAAAAAAAAAAAACCAACTTCCTTACCTGGGCAGTGGCTGCATAGTTGATGCTGCCACCAACATAACTGGCACAAAGACACGACGCAATCTGCTACAAGAGAAATTCTAGAAAAGTCAAGCGGGAGTTGCAGGTATACTAGCCTTCCAGCCATCAGGTCCAAGATGCCTCCCAACAATCCAAAAGGCCACAAGTGTCCCAAGTATCGTTCCCGCGGCTCCGATCCAGAAGGCCTTGAGCGTAGAACCTTGCAAACGCATTTCCATGCCACTAGATAGCCTAGGGGTATTGATCGAGACACAAAAAAGTAGCGACTTCTTACCAGCATCTGTGAAGGCCCGCTGCACATCAGTTTCCAAAAGAGTGAGTGCCACCGCCATTGGCATCGCTATCTTCAGTACCTGCGTGCAATATGTTAGCAGAAAAACAGAGAGCCAGAACTTACATTCTCGTAGACCGGTGCGGCTGTAGGAATGACTTGAAGGGACGAAAGAAGCATTCCAGACGCCATTGACAGCACCGGCGAAGATAGATGCTCACCCCACTTTGTTCGTCCTTCCAATACCTGTCCATGCAACAACATCTCCTCTTGCAAAGTCAAGACTAGACTTACTTGAGCAAGCGCGGCACAGGATGCTATCAAGCAAAACAGTGGCTGGCCTTGGCAAGGAGATATCAGTGAGGCTGACAAGCGGTTGCTAACCTCCACCGCTTTGGGCCGAAAGCTCTTCTGGCTTCTCCAAGAACGCCATTGCTGCTTCTCTTGTGCGCGCGAATGCAAGGTTGTCCAGCTACTCCACAGCAGACATGGCATCTTGGCGGCTTGCAATGGCGAGGCCATAGCCGTCCCTGTGATTACGGCGAGCAATACAACCCCTTGCAAGGTAAGAAGAAGCCTCTCAAACGCGACAAATGCTCACTGTTCATCACCCAACGGCGTCGTCCAAAACACATCTTCAGATCTAAACAGCTCATGACGAGTGATTTGCATCATCATCGACGTTGAAGCCTTCGCCGCTGCCGTCGAGGCTCAAGCCTCTGACGGAAGGGCTGGAAACGATGGCTGGCATCGGAGGCGCTTCCAGGCACGCAGCATTCGACTGCAAAAGTTGGCAGCACGCCCGCATGGTTGGCCGCTTATACGGCTCCAGCTGACAGCAGTGTAGTCCCAGGCGAATTGCGCGAACTATGTCCTCCGCTCTTGCTGCTGCTTCATGGAGCCTGGCATCCACGGCTTCCATGTCCCGCCCATCGCAAGCCAACTCCCGCACCCAGTCAAGTAGCACGCTGTCCTCGTCGTTCTTGTCTTTGCTCAGCGACGTAGCTCGTCGGCCGCTCACCACTTCCAGAGCCAGGATCCCAAAACTGTAGACGTCGCTTCTTTCGGTTGCTCTTCCCGTGTAGAGCTCCGGTGCCATGTATCCCGTTGTTCCCACTGCTGTCATGTACCAGCTGCCCGTTCCGTGATCTACCAGCTTGGAGAAGCCAAAGTCCCCCAGCTTGGCACCAAAAGATGCGTCTAGGAGAACATTGGCTGCCTTGACGTCTCGATGGAGAACGCGCTGTTGCCACCCTTCGTGAAGAAATGCCAGACCTTCCGCTACACCTCTCAAGATAGCCAGCCTCTGATGCCACTCCAGCTTGCCCTTCGGATCAAACAGGTGCTTGTCCAAGCTCGTATTTGGCATGTACTCGTAGACGAGGCAAAACTTTGCTCTCTCGAAGCAGAATCCCTTGAGTCCCACGAGATTCCGGTGCCGGAGCTGACCAATCACTCGTATCTCCGCGACAAACTGTGCGATGCTGCTTTCCGAGTCTGCTTCCGCCTTGTCCCTGTTCAAATACTTGATCGCGACCGCGGTTCTATCCTTTAGAGTGCCCTTGTAGACGCTGGCAAAACCTCCGCGGCCCAGCAGCAGCTTTTTGGAGAATCCTCTGGTGGCAGACCGAAGCTCCTTGAATGAGAACCGAGTGATGCCAACGGACTCTGGCATGTGAATGGTGTAGGCGATCTTTTTGGTACGTCGAAAGACAACCATGGCAAGTGCCACCATCAAGACCAGAGCAAGAGCCACCGAAAGCGCGACCAGAACCTTCACCACTGCACAGTCCACGCCATTGCACTTCGTCACCCGGGACATTGTAAAATTCCAGGCATACAGCCTGTGAAACTGGAAACAATCCTGCCCCGTTGCTGCCGAAAACCCCACGTACATCCGCTCTTGATTCAATACACCCGACAGTTTCCAGCCCCGGGAGCTGAAGTTCGTCCTGAGGAGGAACTCGCGCGGCCTTTCCGTACTGTTGCTTGCCATCCTAACTTCCAGGCAGTCCGTCGTAGCGTCGTATTCAATCCAAGCAGTCAGCGTATAGTTTGCCGTCAGGTTGAACTCTCCTGTCAAGTTGGCAGTGGCGACCGAGATGACGCTGTTGATATCTACCCCTGCGTGACTGGCGCTGGGATCTCCAACATCTGTGTTGAGCACATCGTCAAATTCCACAGCTAGCATATGCGTCGAGTTGTTTCCTTGCATGGTTTCGTTCAAAAGCCCCATGTAAAACCCATAGCTGTTCTTCGGTAGCCTCATGTTTGCTTCAGGAACCAGCATAAACGCCATTCCGGCCCCAGGTCCAATCCCAGAGTTGCCATCCTCGAAAACTCGCACGATCTGGAAAGTGAAAGAGGTGTTGAAAGAGGCCACGCCGCGCAGCGAGTCGTCACGAAAATCAAAGGGGTGCCTGTAGACGATCCGGCCGGAAGAGTTGACAGGCTGTTGATTCCACTCGCTTGTTGTCAGGTGCACACAGCCGCATGACGGCTCGTAAGTGGCATCCCCTGAACTTAAATAACCACGCTCCTCTGAACTGAAGGATGCTGAGTTCAGTGTAAAGCTCTGTCCCGCAGCAAGACGAAGAAAACTTAGCAGGGATGCCAGCACAAGCGCTTTCACCTCCATCACTGCCTGCACCAGATCCAGAGCAATCAAAACACTAGTTAAAAACCAGAGAGCGTGCACCTCATATCCCCGGACGATACAAAGGACAAATGTTGGGACTGGTTCAAAGATGACAGTCAACAATGACGCTTCGAAAGCATGCGCGTAGCACACTCTTGTTTAGAAATCTGCATGGTAAACGCAGACAAGGCTAGAGTGCAGTACTGGAGCTCGGCAGAGTGGGCATTCGGGTTTCTCATTGCACCATTCCGCGACGCAAGTCCTGAAAGTCAAAACCGTAGAAGGATCAACACCCAAAGCGTGTCCATACCAGCAAAACACATGACCGCAAGGCGTTGCCGTGGGATTTTGGCGGGGACTTAAGCACAGTGGGCATTTCGTCGAAGAAGCCTCCTTCTGCACGACGGGATTATTTTCTACACACAAACTGTTTGATTCTCACCTCTAGTTCCAATGAGCTTCTCTGAGGCATGTTTCCGTCCTCATCCAGAATAGTTATCCTTTGATGAGTTGCTGATAGTGTATTACGACAAGATCTATAAATATTTGGAAAGAAATAAAGGAAAAACTTCACCTCCGGGAGGAGAGGCACTGTTAACTGAGGGTGATTGCATCGATAGAGCAACAGCTGGTAGAATACTTCGTCGTAGCCAATGCCCGCTTAAAATCGATAGTTGAAGAAGTAGGAACATACCGAGCATGTGGTACCTGCAAATTTCCACGATCATGGCTGTAATATCAATCGATAGCATTCCGCAAAACCTGGGCCTTTGCTGCGCTGCCTTTCCCATATGGATGTAACGTATTCGAGCTGCTCGTTTTGCAAGATGATAATATATTCCTGAAGACAAGGACGGTCAAAGTGAAGGATGAAGAAAATGAGCTCGCAAGTTACCATCGAAGTAGAAGAGCATCAAGTTCGCTCGTGAAAGAAGTAGAAGAGCTTCGCGCAAGGAAGGCAGAATCTGCAGTTACAAGTGCTTAGCAAGCAGCTGTGACGATAAATCTATTCATACCACAGCCCAGCCCTGCAGGGCAGCAGACCATAAACATTGCAGCCACTTGAGCACTTGATCACTCTTTTGCAGCAGCCCCGTGTAAGAAAGACTACTGGTTGCTGTAGCTCGTGTATTTTCTCCACCCGAGAGCGAGGAGCGTGCGCGCCTCCCCTCCTCGTTTGCTAACAGGATTCCTCGTGCAGCTGCTCTGGAGCTGAGAGAAGTGCACACGTAGCATGAGAACTACCAATAATCTCCCTGATTACCTGAGACGTTCTCCGAGATATGGGAGAATCGCTTGATAGAAGATGAGAAGAACACGTCTAGCAGGAGACGGGGGAAGGCCAGATGCCCCTGCCACCTGATACGCAACAAGTCCAACATAAAGCTACAGAGAACAGCAAGATTCTTGCCTGCAAGATGTCACAATACTCCTCGCCCAAGGTCTGGAGTCCCGCCCCCGTGGTCAGGAGGTAGTAGAGGGCTCGGCCAGCAAGTTTGGTCTGAAAGGGAAACAACTCGTGGCCGCGGTGGTGTCAAAAGAGGAAAGCTCTGTACCTCATTCTGGTAGGCCACAGCAAGCCGAGTTCCTGGTTGACATGGATGGGATGAGCTGCACTGCAATTCGATTTGGCACATACCAAATGCGTGGCGAAACGCATCGTAGCACGATTCGCAGACGAAGGAAGCGTATTGCTCGTCCTTCTCGGCGGCGCGCATAACCTCTGGAGCTGCGGCTGGAGGGAACATCCCTTCTCGCATTCTAGGGCAAAGCTAGGTAGGGTTTATCAAAATTTTATTTGTTTTTGCGTGGAATAAACAGCGTCCACGTCCTCGAGCTCCAGTAACATGTCTGTCAAGGCTCTGTTGAGCTCCATTGCTTCATCGTCCACCTGCTCAAACACTCGATGCTTGACAACCTAGCGAGGCAGCAAAAGTGAGAGAGAGAGAAGCCCACCTCCACAGGTGCCACGGGTAAAAACTCGAGCCCAGAGCTTTCCAGGTCCATGCTGATTCCGGCCTCGCTCAGTTTCGTCTTGACGGCTCCAAACTCCTCAACCGGCATCACAACCTTGTAGTGTCTGGCGGGCCAAGCCGATGAGAGGCGAAGAGAGAGCGGTCGCTGCAAGAGATGGGGGGAGAGAGTTTTTATACCTCTCCTCTGCTGCCGATTCGTCCGTATCTTCTTCATGGCAGGGCTCAGGGCCGATGAGATCCTCCGCGCCCGCGTCCATTGCTGCAAGCAAGAGGTGGTCGGCATCCACTTTGCCCGGCCTTACCGCAATTACTCCTGCTCGCTTGAATCCAAACATGACCGAACCGGAGTCCGCCATCTTGGCTCCACTTTTCTTCACCACGTCCCGGATGCTGGCAAACGCTCGGTTGGGGTTGTCTGTGAGGGCCTCCATGACAAGCCCAACGCCTCCAAAGCCATAAGCCTGAGAAACGCAGACGTTTGAAGCATGGCGCCACAACAGGAGACAGTGAAATGCAGCACCTCGTAGATGCATTCGGTGTAGTCTTGCTGATCCTTGTCCGTGGCCTTCCTCAGGTGCTTGTCAATGTGCTCCTTGGGATAGTTGCACTCCCTGGCCTGTTGCAGCAGCGACGCCAGCACCAGATTGGACGCAGGGTTTGGCCCGCCGTCGCGAACGCTGTGCAAGCACAAAACCTCCGACTCGGGAACACACAACAATCTGGTGCACGTACGCTTTTGCGATCTGCTTGCCAATTCTTTGGTTCCTCTTCATCTTCCTTGCCGCTTGCGCTCCCTGCTCACGCAGGCAGCATAGCATTCCTTGACCACTAGTATCTATCGCGCAAAAAAAAAAAAGCCCACCTTTCTGGCAGCGATCTTGCTGGAGCGCCTTCCCATTCCACGGGGAGCAAGGAGGCGCGGCGGCACGCGCCGCGCTCCCCACGCCTCCCGGGGGCGAACAAGCAGCTCCTTGGGGGGCTGGGTGTAGGGGCGAAGGAGCACGCACCCCGCCAATGCTGACATTAGTAATGGCCAAAGCCCTAGCCAGTCGAAGATAGATCTAGGGTTTGTTTGGCGCGCAGCGGAGCGAGGCAGCCATGGCGATGTCGCTGCGCCACAAGCACCTAGGTGAGAGCTTCGATCTGGTTGGGTTTTGTGGCGTAGCTGAGCAGCGTGGTGGTGCTGCGCGCAGATGTTATCAAGAGAATGCTCAACCTCAACCAGCCGCTCCCCGCGGGCGGCACGGGCGACGACGCCGTGTACAAGGTGCTTGTGGTGGATAAGTTTTGCCGGGACATCCTGTCGCCGCTCATCCACCTCCACGAGCTGCGCAAGCACGGGGTCACCATCTGCTTCATGATCGACGTGGAGCGCCAAAACATCCCCGACGCCCCCGCCATCTACTTTGTCCAGCCAACCGCGCCCAACATCCACAGGATCATACAGGACGCCGCCCGTGGCGTCTACGAGTCCTTCCACCTCAACTTCTCCTCGTCGCTCCCGCGCGCGCTGCTCGAGGAGCTCGCCATGGGGGCCCTCAAGAACGACTGCATGCACCGCCTCTCCAAGGTGTTTGACCAGTACGCCGAGTTCGTCACGCTCGACACGGCCATGTTCTCGCTGGCGCTGCCCGACACGTACGTCCGGCTCAACGATCCTAGCGCCCAGGACAAGGACATCGAGACCGCCGTGGACGCCATTGTCAACGGCCTCTTCTCGGTGTTCGTCACGCTCGGGGTGGTGCCGGTGCTGCGCTGTGCGCGGGGCGGGCCTGCGGAGATGGTGGCGACGCAGCTGGACGCCAGGATCAGAGACCACCTCGTCTCCAGGAACAACCTCTTCACGGAGCCGGGCCACTTTGGCACCTCGTTCCAGCGCCCCCTCTGCTGCATCTTCGACAGGAACTTTGAGCTCTCGGTGGGCGTGCAGCACGTGTGGACGTACAGGCCGCTGGTGCACGACGTCCTGGGCATGAAGCTCAACCGCGTGGTGGTTCAGGGGGAGGGCGCGGCTGCCGGCGTGGCGGGCAAGGGCGCGGCCAAGTCGTTCGAGCTGGATGAGTCGGACACCTTCTGGGTGGCCAACAACGCTGCCGCCTTCCCAAAGGTGGCGGAAGAAGTGGAGGCCCAGCTGAAAAAGTACAAGGAGGACGTGGAGGAGGTGAACAGGAGAACCGGGGGGCGTGCCGACGTGCCGTTTGACGAGCAAGAGCTGCTGGGGAACACCAAGCACCTGATGAGCGCCGTCAACTCCCTCCCGGAGCTGACGGAGCGCAAGAAGATGATTGACAAGCACACCAACATCGCGACGGCGCTCTTGGGGGAGATAAAGAGCCGGAATCTGGATGGCTTCTACTCGCTGGAGGAGGACATGCTGACCAAGGGGACGGTTGACAAGACGGCGCTGCTGGGAGCCCTCAAGGGGAAGGGTACGAGCGACGATAAATTGCGACTTGGCCTCGTCTATCTGCTGTCCATGGAATCCGCAGCGGGCGCAGAGATCGAATCTGTGGAAGCAGCACTTCGGGAGGCCCGGGTGGACGTCACATCGTTTCTTTATGTGAAAAGGATACGGTCCTTGAACATCTCGCTGGCGTCAGTGAACACGGGCAGCAAGAGCAACCTGGTGGACTGGCTCTCCACAACAGTGACAGCGGGCGTCAAGAACTTTCTGTCCGCGGGAAGACAATTGGCTCTTACACGAACCGTGGAGTCTCTGATGGAGGCAAGGCTGGCTCCCGAGCTGGAGTCTTACATGACGCTGGATCCGCGTGCTCCCAAAGGCTCTGCGCCGGGAATTCACACCAAGGGCCCGTTCAAGGAGGCTGTCGTGTTCATGATTGGCGGTGGCAACTACTTGGAGCATGGGAGCCTTGTAGAGCTGGGCCAGAGGTGCCAACCCGGCAAGAACATCATTTATGGCTGCACGGAGGTGGTGACGGGCGCGGAGTTGAGCCGCCAGCTGGGGGTTTTGGGCCACAAGATGGGAGTGGACGCCTCCGCGTAGAGGTGGTAGAGAGGTTTTATGTAAGTGTTTTGTCAACAACGAGGGCTTCCCCGCAATACCAACAATGCTGCGGTGCGCCAGGCGGGTGGTGGTGGTGGTGGGTGTCCTCGGGCTGGAGCACTGCCGGTTCCAGACGGGCCCCGCGTGCGCTCTAGCCTATGGCAAGGCAACCCTGGCGCGGTTTGGAGTCCGCAAGAGCAGGCGCGTGGAGATTGGTGCCCAGACGGACCGCATCGTCCACGAGGCTGTTCGTATGGTGGTGGAGAGGCTGTTTGAGCCGCGGTTCGCAGACCAGGCGCTGGGCTGGAGGCCGGGCAGCGGCCGCCAGCTCGTGTTCCGGCAGATAAAGAGCACGTGGCAGGGCGTGGAATGGTATCTCCAGCTGCACATACTGCACTGCGTCAAGTCCCTGGATCACTTCCTGCTCACCAAGAGCTTGATCGCCCGAATCCGGGACAGGGCGCTGGTGGGTCTCATCAAGGACATGTGCTTCTATCCCCAGCAGGGCAAGGGGATCCGGCGCAACGCGTTGACGCCCCTGCTGTGCAACATCTTCCTCACCTTCGCGGACAGGGAGGTGCAGAGGGTGATGCAAGCAAACTGCACGCCCAGGGCGGAGCGGTGCGGGGACAGAGGGAATGGCATCCACAGCGTCAAGTACATACGGTACATGGACCAGCTCCTCGTCGGGGTTCAGGGCCCACAGGCGCTGGTTCGGCACATACGAGATCACGTTACGGCCTTCCTCGCCACCAGCATGGAGCTCCGCCGTGTCCATGCCGACTACGACAACATCACGCTGGCGTCGCCCATGTTCCTGGGGAATACCATCAGGGTGACGAGCAGCGAGGACGTGCGACGGCATGCACGGGACATGGAGAAGAGGCGGAGGGGCAGGGGGGTAAGGATGAGGAAGAGGCAGGAGACAGAGGCCAAATACGAGTGCAATGTCGGCTTGCAGTTCGAGCAGGTTTGGATGTCGAACGCGACCAGGGCTTTAGTGGTGGCCGAGGATGTCGTCAACCAGATGCCGCAGCAACGCCCGTGTCGCGGTACGGCTGCGAGCGAGGAGCGGCTGGCGCACCATCTAGTGAGGCTGGATAAGATGGTGCAGGGCTTCTTTACGACACGGCGTCCAGCTGCGCAGGACCAGTACATGATGAGGAAGCATCTCAATTGCCTCCCAACAAAGGTCACAGCGGCATCAGGCGCGGCAGAGGAATAATAAAAGCTGGCGGTTGCAGTGGCTGTGCCCAAGGCCTTGCAAGCCAAAAGGGAGCGAAGACAGCCAGCCAGCGCAGGTTGAGTGCCCATCGAGCCGGGTTGTCCCCTGCTTCAAGCTAAAGCACCGTTCTAGCTGAACAATGCGCTGCGTGGGCCCTAATAAAAAATCTTGTAATTTTGTGATCTTCATTGCGTGTAGTATATATATATATATATATATATATTATATGACAAAAAAAAGAAAAAAAACTTTAAGCCTTTGGCTGGTCATCAAGTTTGCTGCCTACCCCCCTTCGTGTCATTGGTGCTTGTTCCTTCCTAGCAACACCAGGATCATTGTGTGAAAGAAGGTTGGGGAAACAAAGAGGTTGGTTGCCAATGGGCAACAAAGAAATTTAAAGGATGGACAGACTGATGGATGGAAGGGGTTATAGAAGGTGAGTGTGTGTGTGTGTGTGTGAATGGACTTTTTCTTGGGCTTGTCAAAGTCCATGCATTGGGGCTCCCCTAAAAGGCGTAGCTATGTATGGCGTTCCAGCAACGGGATATTTGTACACCATGATGAAGCTGGTATAATATTACGCGCGAGTCATGACGCCAGGCTTGGCACGTTCGAAAAGACGAGCTTCTCCCTTGCCCATGTCTCTTTGGGGGCAACACAGATGTACATCGGAACGTACTCCTGCATTCACAACAACAAGCCCAGTTTTCCGTAAGGAGCTATTTGACAAACAAGAAACAAAAGAAACACGAGCAAGTTGCGTTCTAGAAGGCTGTGACGACAAAAGAGGATGAAAGGATCCCGGACACCAGGTGGGAAGTAAGCGGTGTTGTAAGGAGGGAACGTACCTCCAATCTATTCACAAGTTCGTGAGCTGTCGACGCGGAAACAACTATCTGCCGATAAGATGGCTGGATAAACCCCTCCTCGGTTCCCTTGTCAAACAAGTTGAGCAGCGGATTGAAGTAGCCATCCACGTTCAGCAATCCCACCTGACACACACAAGAAACATTCCAAAGCTTAGACCTCACACAAACAATAAGCACCAATCGCTTTACCGGCTTGTCGTGGATTCCGAGCTGAGCCCATGTTATCACCTCTAACAGCTCCTCCAAAGTTCCGTAGCCACCTGAAAGAAGCAACGAGATTGGGGGCATGTCAAGCACATGAAGGCTACGCTGCGTGACAGTATACCAGGAAGAGCAATGAAGGCGTCGGCTTGGCGTGCCATCTCGGCTTTCCTTTGGTGCATATCGGCAACCGGCCGCACCTCTCCCACCGTTTGGCCGCATATCTGTTCAACCGGACGAGAGGTGAGCGGGCACGAAAGTAGCGAACGCCGGAGGGGCATGAGAAAAGCCACAACTTGGCAACGCAGAAGAAACAAAACAAAAAGCAAACGAGCAGCAGATCATGGTCAGCAGCTGGATCCAACACAGAACATGCGCGGCACAGAGCGGATATGATATTTAAGGAGGAGCGCAACGCAAGAGAAATCACTCACCTCGCTAGACATGAGCGCCTTCGGAATCACCCTGCACGTACAAGGCACAAAATCAATCAGTACACTGACATGAAAAGGAATAGTTAAACGACGTGTGCGCCATGCTCTACTCTAGTGCCACGGGATGGATGGAATGCCGATGAATCTGACTCGTAAAAGCTTCAATGATCACACACAAAATCCCCCTGTCGTGTGCTGCTGTCTCTGTTTGGAGGGGCTTTTCTGTGATCACATTGTCAGCCGCTCGCAAAGTTCCAAGCGCCTTAATGAATGCATCGAAGAGATGGATGCACCACGCGGCTGGGTGCAACAAGGGGGGAGAAAGCGAACTTACCCAGTGACATGGCCTCCACCTTCGTGCACAGCCTGCGCAATGAGGCCCATGAGCCCCACATTCCCACCGCCATACACCAGATCGATCTTGCGCCCGACCTTGACACACGCACACGCACACGCACACACGGCAGCACGAGTGAGCTCGAGGCATCAAATCAACTTCCACCAATTCCGCACCAGTTCCTTGCCCAGCTCCAGAGCACTATTGCTGTAGCTCCTCTTCCTGCCGCTACTGCTCCCACAAAAGACGCAGATTCGCTTGAATTTGGATGGGCTGCCAGCCATCCTTAATCGGCCAGAAATAAATATGGGGGAGGAGACTGCGTGCCAAGCTAAAAGACTAAGCCCGGATAAGCCAGAGTGCGTGCACGGCGTAATGTCGCTCCCGTGGAGAAGAAAACAAGAGTGTGGTGATCGGCGACGCACACCGCCCTCGCTACTCGCTGGCTGCCCCGGCTCCAAACAATCCGGCCTCTGGGCTTCTCGCAAATCGACAAAACCCAAAAACAAAACCCCCGACAGAGAAGCGCCTTTCAATCATGAAAACCAGGCAAGCAGCAGCGGGAGAGCGTCCAAGAGATGCACACACGCATCCTGAGGCCTATGTGCGGAAATTGGGTTTATATGGAACGCCCACTGCCACGCTGGCAGAGGAAAGCCACGACACCGCCACCTGGAGGCACCGTCCCGCCTACGTGGACTGCAATCGACCATCTAACGGTCGCGGCACTCCCACCGCCAATTCCGCCGCATCCAACGCTCCGGCTCGCTGCCACGCGACACACCTGCCACATACTCACTCATCCATCCAGGGTTCGATTCTGCAACCCGGTCATCCGGCGGTATGAGCTGTCACTGTCGCCTCCCAGCTGGCGCTAATGACACGCGGCATGCCGGGGCTTGTTAACCTCCATCCTCCCCGTGTGGGGATTGAGATTAGTTTAGTGGGTGGCCAAGTTGCATGGGTAAAATAGTTGGTGGGACACCAATTACGTGTGCTGCGCTGGGGTTCAATCATTTGGTTGCCCCCGATGCATGGGGGGCATGCCCATTCTTGGACGTATGATCATGCGTGCTATGCTGCCGGTTATCAATGCGTCGAAAAGACATGTTTTGAATGGCGAGCATGGGTGCCCATGCACGGAATTGTGAGTCAGAATGTAGTTAGTGAATATGAGGAAAGAGTTCCATTCCAATGGTCCATATCATCATCATCCATGCCAGCCAGCTATCCGATTGGACATGCCTCTCGTAGAAACACTACTACTATGGTAACCACTAGGCCTGTAGACCTACCATTGGCGCGTGGCGTGTTAATAGGGAAGGTACCTAGTTGCCATGGTGGGGTGAGAGCTGCAGTGCAAGCTCTAACTTATCATTAGCCCTTCCGTACATCACCCTCCGGTCAAACTTATTGCTCCATGTAAAACCTAACAACCCCCTAAAAACCCTTGGTATAAGAATGTCATTTTTAAATCCATGCCATTGGCCATTGCTGCGTCGGATGTGGATTCACTTGACTGGTTTGGTATGGTTTTTCATCCGTGTGTGCACACGGGGCCTTGGATCGACTTCCAGGCTGATTAGGTGGGATATCCCCGCTTGTTTCTAGGTAGAATATGCCTTACTCTGATCTTTTGCCAACGACACAAAGAAAAGTACATGCGTCTTGATCGCCAATAATGTGCCACAGGACAACAAAGGACCAAACCCAATGTATCGCAAGAGTTTTTATACTCTCCCTAAAAGGTGCCCGAGAAATCTATTACCCTAGATTTTCCGGAGGCTCTATCACAAGAGAAGAAGGGCATGAGCTCCCTATCTCCCTATGCTGCGCGCGCGACAACTTGTCCCATGAGAAATCCAGCGCCCTGCTTCTATAGATACCACCACAGCTAAAGAAATCTTCTGCTTTTCACATGAAGCAGGTAGTTGGATGCTTGGCCGGTTGGGGTTGCTGCCATAGAATCAATTTCTTTCGTTTCTTCGCTGCTGATATGCTCTTTTCGTAGAATATGTATATATATGGATTTCCGTTTGATTGGCCATATCAGCTTTGCGCATTCAAGCTGGGGAAATGCCTTGTTTAGTTGCTAAGCATCGGAATCGGAACGAGGTTCGGTAGGTGAGGATTAGGTGCAAGACAAAAAGAGGGTCCTGAGTTTTGTTTGTTTTAAACACCTTTGCCCGCCCCTTCTCGTTCGGTTTTTAACCCAAGCACAGTGTCCACATGAGAGGCGCGCGCGCGCGGTCAATGTTAGACCATGAGGCGTAGCAAAAATAGGTGCCTGGGAGGCAATTCATGGAATCCAATCCAATCCACTTCCGTGTCTTAAAAGTGCAGAGCGAAGAAGCCTGAACCAATGAACGATGTGTCGAGGTCGCTATCGGCAAGCAAGTAAAATCACACGCACAGCACAGCTTGGATTGCGCTCTAAACAACGTTACCGGGATCTCAAGAGGGTGATTCAAAAAGTGATGCTGTGTCTGTCCCAACAAAAGCGGATTCATTTATCAACAATCGAGATGGAAGATGGATCCTTTTCATGTGTGTGCCACGTGATGCTCCAAATGCAAAGTAGGTAGCACATACTTATCAGCAATTCGCAACGCTGCAGCAACCATAGCCTCTGGTTTCACACACAATACAAAACCATATTCTTTTCTCTGGGGCTCCGGGGGGTCAAGCATTGACTCCGTACACACAAAAACAAATGTCATCCAGATCCGAGCAACTGATTCTGGAAATCGTCCCGAAACCCAGGACGTGTATGAACATCGTGACTCTTTGTTATACTCCAGAAAAGTCGCAACTTGGTGTGCGCTGCCTTTTTGGGTACAGAAGAGCCTAGGAGCAGCTTTTGAGTTTTAAAGGATAGCAATCGTAGACTCTTCTCACGAGGGACATAAGCTGGCGCCTTTTGCAGCCGAGGAGCTGGATGGACTGGAACTGAGTTGCAGATGGAGATCCGTGTCAATCTCGTGGCGACTGGGTGGTTGACCCAGGTGGAGCTGGATGTCGTCGCTATCGCCGTCCCGACAACCCAGGCAGCACTGCTGGACGTGATGGTCACCCCGGCGGCTGCCCGGCCCCAGAGGAGGCGCGCCTCGGCCAGTCGGTTGGAAGCCATGGCTAGACTGCACTTTGCTGAGGAAATCAGCTACTGGATACTGTGCACATGGCCTCTCCACACGCCCCATGCAAGAGGACGGCGACGTCAAGTAGACGAAGGGATTGGCAGTGTTAAGGGGTGGCGCGACGTGGGGACGCAAGGTGGTAGCAGCAGCCGCAAAAGCTGGCGACGGACCCGGTGCTGCCGGCTGCTTGAAACATGGAACCGCTGCCGCCGACCTGAATAGCTGCTGCACCTGCACCTCCAACTCATCTGTTTGCTTCTCAAGCGCTGCCTTTTCTTCCTCAAGATCGTCCCTCTCTCGCTTGAGCTGCAAGCAACACACGATTGCTCCTCCCACAATACCTCATACCCCACACACTTACGTCTCGCGACTCGTCAAACAGTGTCCCCCGCTCGATCCTCAGCCGTTTGATCTCCACGCGCAGATTCTTTACCGCTTGCAAGCTATCGCCCAGGATACTGGCTTTGTCTTGCTTTGGCTTCTCCGGGTCTGCGCCCAAGAGAAGAAAAAGGGACGATGAATACGGCAATTGCACAACACAAGACCCACCTAGGACTGCTGCTAGCTCTGCGAACTGCTCATTCAGCTTGTCGCGTCTCAATTTCTCTCTGTCGGCCTTGTGTACTTTCCGGGACACCAAGCTCGTGCCCGCCGGGCCACTGGACACAAGCTGTGTGACTTGCAAATCAAGGAGGAGAAATCAAACCTTGGCCTTTGCTCACAAACTTCCTGCGTCATGTCTCGCTGCCCCAATTGCCACTGAGCTGGATTTTCCTTGCAGATCGTCGGGCTGCCCTAAACGATGGAGCAGTCCGACGTGGATGCTCAAACACGTGGTTTAGCACGTCAGCCTCACGCTTCGGTACCTACATACGTGTTCAGCACGCACGCCGCGCGTGGACGCCACGAGCCTGTCGTCCTCATTTCTATCATTGCCATGGTGCCCTCAAGATTCCACACCAACATTCCTCTAATAGGCTGGTGTTTTTCAGTGTTTCACCCAGCATATTTGCATTTACCAGTGAGGATTCACGCCGCACTGGGAACCTTCACGACCAAGAGGGGCAGACTTTGCACGGACATTTACCCAGGATGAGGCGGTAATCACGACAGGGAGCCAACTCATCGAGGTGTGTTCTATGCATGGCATGATTATTTTCAATCGCTGCCATGGCCTCACACATGCCAAACAAGTTGGGGATCAGTAGCACAGTGGATTATGTCCACCCTGTGGTGGACTTCCACCTCTGGAAACGGCAGATCACTGTCCATTAAGGACATCCTTAGAGATCCCAGCCGTCACTCCTCCCAGGGAGCTTCCCGCCTAAATCACATACAGGTTGGTGGATGATCGTCGAGAGTTATATGCTCAACGGGTATGCGATCTCTGGGCGGCCTCAGCCCCTGTCACACGGAAAGAGGACTACGCAGAGCTCTTGATCAAAGTCCTCACAACAGCGGCACAATTCACTTGTCCACGACATTCCACCCAAAGACGCCCTGGCTTTCCCAACTCTCCATGGTGGGATGAGGAATGCAAGGAATGGTACACGCTAAAGAAGCAAAAAGCTAGATGCGATGCCGTATATGGGAGAACGCTCGAACAGTTGAACTGACAGGCGCGGAAATCTGGGTGGCATACCTCCGAGAGCTCTACAGTCCGGTCTTTCCACCAATCATTCACAAATGGGACACACTCACTTCACTGTCGAAGAGCTAGTTCGGGCTATTGGAAATCTCCCTCGCAAAAGACCGGCTATGCATGACCTCACGGCGGAGATCCTTGCAAGGAAATCTGCCTGAAGGGTCCTAGGATGCATCTTTGATGGGATACTTTCCCGAGACAATGGACTATGAACCGTATAGTGCCTACACACAAGAGTGGCAACGAGTTACTCCCCATGAATTATCGCACTATACTGGTTTCTTCCATTTTCTCCAAGCCCTTCGCTACCATGGTAGAGAAACGCGGTGAGCAAGAGGGGAAACGCATAACAGCCCAGGCAGGGTTTCGCCCCCAGCACAGGTCACTTGATCCCACTACGCACCGTACATCAAGAAAGCTTTACTGAAAGCACAGGGGACACCCAACTGACTGCGCTGGTCACCAACACCATTGGTGGTCCGTGTATTGATGCAATTGAGGCACCACCACCTCTCGGGAGAGGCCGTGAGGTCCAAGGCCGCCAACCTCCACATCTGACGTGGTGACGGCGCTGCTACCAAGCGTGGCGACGCTGGTGCCGGATCGTCCAAGCTCCCGCCATCGCCACGTATCTCCTCCTCGCGATCTACATGAACTGGGCAGGTCTGACCAAGTACTTCTGGAGGCAAGTCGAGAAAATCCATACGTTTATTCTCAAGGAATTCGGCTGCCCGAAAGTATCTCGCGGGATTCCTGCCAGTGCAGCTTGAAGTCTGGAAGAACACCATGCAATATTTCTTGTGCTTACTCGCACACTCAGATGACGACAAGCTTCCAAAATTGGTCATCTATGGGTGGCACAGACTGCGGGTTTGGACGCAATGGATCTCTCCTACTGGAAAACACAATTTACAACCCAGTATTATGGATGGAAAAACCCTTCAAGACATACAAGAAACTACCCAAATACCACAGCCGCTTGGCCGGAAACAAAGAAAAATTCTCACGGCAAGGCGGACACAGACTGTACTCGACAGTCGAGGAAGGTTGTCACTCTCCACCTCCTCATAGCAGAGCTGGCATAGCCGTTCCTCCCAGGGGGTTGGGGGGCGACACCATTCCTCCCACGGCGTTCACAACCATTCGACAGCAACTTCACCTCCCATGGCATGGCTCTGAACCAACCAAAGGCCAAGAGGTGGCAGTGTTCCTCCTGGAAATCACACCAAATTCTGCCGTTCTACTGTCCGGGAAGCCGTACTTCGCTCTTGAGACGCCGATAATGCATTTCCTTGAATCAATCCGGGACATCGCCAGCTGCCGCATACGTGTTGGCCAAAACGACGTATGCAGCGGAGTCTTCCTCTCTCATTCTCGCAATCGACTCAAAAGCTACCCTTGCAACCTCGAGGTTACTCCACTTGCGAGCAGCAGTCAAGACCGTCATCCACATGGCCTGATCCGGCGCGCAGGGCATCCCTGTGAGCAAAGCTAGCGCATCGTCTAGTCGGTTTGCACGGGCCAAGAGATCCAGTAAGGCGCTGTAATGCTCGATCCCAGGCACAAGGCAGGCTCCCAGCTGCATGAGATCGAAGCAGTGCTTGCCCGTGTCCACCAGCCCGGCATGACTGCAGGCCTTGATCACACACAAGAACGTAATGCTGTTGGGCCGCAGATCTGGCTGCTGTTGCATCCGATCAAACAAGCGGACCACCTCCTGTGCGTCCCCTTGCTGTGCATATCCCGCCATCAAAGCGTTCCACGTCACTACATCCCTCTGCAATCCCATGCACTCGAAGATGCCACGGCTCTCATGCATGCTTCCGGCCTTGCCATAGAAATCAACCAAAGAGTTGGCCACCGTCAACTCTTGTTCCACTCCCCGACTACACAGATGCTCGTGAACTCGCTTGCCAGCCTCGAGGTGAGAGAGGTGGGCACAGGCTTTGAGAACGGACACAAAAGTGAGGGCATCCGGCCTTGATCCCTGCTGCTGCATCCGCGCATAGCACTCGAGTGCCTTGGCAGCCTCTCCCACATCTACATATCCCAGAATCAACCCATTCCACGACACAACATCATGGAACATCATACCGTCGAACACCCGGCACGCATCATCCATGCTCCCGCACTTGGCATACATATTGACAAGCGTACTTGAGACCCGCCTGTCCACCTCAAGCCCCGCTGCCTTGGCCTGGGCGTGCACGGCTCGCCCCTTGCTAAGGCCATCCCTGCCCGCAATCCTCACGCAAGCCTTCAATGCGGCAATGTAAGTCGCAGCATTGGGCGTGAGGCCGTAGTCTTGCATCGAGGCCGTCATCTCGAGCGCTTGCTCAGGATCACCCCTGTCCCAGCACCCAGCAATGACACCATTCCAAGACAGAACCGAGTGCCGTGGCATCTTGTCAAAAACCTTTCTAGCGTCCTCAAGGCTCCCACAGCTTACATACATGTGCAGCAGGGTGTTGGCGACTATGGTGTTGCCTTCGTCGCCACAACGAGAAACCTGGGAGTGCAGAGCCATGCCCTTGTCCAGCCACGCTAGCTTCACCACCAGACTTCCACCAACTTGCCTCCATTCTTCTTTCTCAGCACAGCAGCCACAGGCCTTGACTGCAGCAACGTAGCTTCTTGCGTCTGGTGTGTGGCCTTCATCTTGCATCCGGGCGAACAGCTGGAGTGCCAGTTCTCCCTGTCCACTGTCCGCGTATCCAAAAAGCAGCGAGTTCCACGCCACCAACGACCGATGCTTCATCCCGTCGAAAACCCGCCGGGCGTCCACCATGCTCCTGCACTTGGCGTACATGTCAACCAGGGTGCTCGCCACCTTGGGGTCTTCTTCGTGCCCACACTCTCGGCACTCACTGTGGATAGCCTTTCCTGTCTCAAGTAGCAGGAGCTGAGGCGGCTCTTTACCCTGTTCTGCACCACAGGCTGCACACGCCTTGAGCACCGCCATGTAAGTCAGGCTGTTTGGACGGAAGCCATCCGCCTGCATCTGCCGAAGTAAATGTAGTGGCTGTCCAGCATCTCCAGCCTCGGCGTAGCCAAACATGACCGCGTTCCACGAAACCAAGGACCGCTGCGCCATACTGTCAAACACCATTCGAGCCTCCCACATTTTCCCGCACTTGGCGTACATATACACAAGCGTGTTGGCTACAGTCAAATCCCGGTCGTCCCCACTCTCCGTCACGTATGCATGGATTCTCATCCCGGCCTGTATATCCCTGGAGCTGGAACACGCTTTGAGCGAAGCAAGGAGAATGTAGGTGCTTGCTGCAACCCCACTGTCACGCAGCTTGTCAAACTCCTGGATAGCTCCCTCGGATTGCTGGCCCAAAACAGAAGAACCCAGTGAGAGCTAGGGGAAGATAAAAAAACGTACTTACATGGACCGAAAATCTGGCAGCTTCAGATGCTACATACCTACAAAAGAGAGAGGATGGTCCTCTCCACATCTAAAACCCTAAGCCTACGACCAGAGAGCTCATGAAACCTTTACTTAACAAACACCAAGGTATCCAGCCAAAAACGCAGTGTTACGAGGCAGCACAAACAGCACCTGGCACATATTGCAACGACTAAGCAACCGCACCGCAAAAACTATATGATACAAACCAGCTTGGCCACTGGAGCAGCAGAGCCGTCGCTCATCTACGTGCTCCACGTCTAGTCCTAGCATCCACGATCCCACCATCACATCCTCGTGCCGATACACATGCAAAACCGGACTAGACAAAGCACTCGGCCAAAGAACACAAAGACAAAAACTTACTTGTTGATAGAAATGTACTGAGCCAAGGCCCTGCTCACGCCATACATCCGTGCCTCAGCATGACGCATATACCTGCCAATCCAGACAATGTTTATCAACAAGAGAAATCCAGGGCCACGTACCCCTTCTGATCGCCAAACTTCCACCACTCGGGCTCGTACCACCGCTGCTTTCTAGAGGGATACAAGCTGATCACCACCGAGCGTTTCAAAATTGGGAGAACTTACGAGTCGGAGAACACTTCACCAGACTTCATGCACCCGATGTATATCCTGGGCTTGTCCCAGTGCTGAGCAAGCATCTCGCCTAGCTTATCTGTGGAGAAGTTAAAAGTCTGCGGAAGGAGAGTAATGGCCAACGCTTACCGATATTCACATAAACGTCGTCATCTACCTTCAAGAAGAAGTCTGCATCCCATGTCTCGACGGCAGTGGCAAAAAACTTTTTGGCTTTCCTCGGTATCTCCTCCGGCTCTTCTACATGGTCGTCCTGCCACGGATAAGCTTTAGTGAGGCATACAAGAACAAAGCCGAGTTACCAGAATAAGGAAGTCATGTGTTCTGTTGTTTTCGTCGTCAATAAATCGATCTAGGCTGTCCCCTCTGTTTGCGCTGTCATCCACCACCCTTGAGAGGAAGCACGCAAGCAAGCATTGCTTACCTTCTCCCCACAACGAAACGGATGACGACGCCCTTGTCATCCTCCAGTTTCTTCAAAGCCGTCCCTTGCAAGACAGAGCAGCGATATGAGCGAGATGATAATAGACAGAGTTGGATACCTTTCGGCATCCAGGTGTTTCGAATGGAATCGCGCCTGGCATGCTGCCCGAATCCAGTATTGATGCCCATGACAACATGTAGCCGTCCTGCAGCCCTTGTTTGGTTCTCAGCTCGCAGCCTTCGCGTACTGAAGCCTTGGCTCTTGGCCGCCGCCAGCTCCATCTCTAGCGCCGACACTCTCTTCTTCTGGTCCCTGTTGTGACCAAAATGTTTCAAAGTTGTAAACTGTCAGCCATTCCTTACTTGCAGTCGATCAGCTTGAGGGTCTCGTCCACCGATACGGCCTGTCCCTGAGGAAAAAATAAAGGAAGGAGGTAAGAAACCCGTCGAGACCCCAGGCTTTTTTCACACCACCTTTCCCTCATTTTTCTCGATCAGCCCAACAAGCAGCAGCCGAGTCTCGGCATCCTGCCACAGCCTGGAAGAGCAGAAAGGAGGATGTGGCACAAGTGATGAGAGCATACCATACCTCCCACCGATGTAAAAGCAGGCCATGAAGGAGAGCATGATGAGAATCAAGGAAGTCATGCTTCCTCGCTGGGGGGCGCCTGTGTGACCCCGCCCTCTCATCCTAGCGCCGCTGGATCTGCCCTAATGACCCCATCGTGCTTGCATTTTTACCTAAACACCCAGGAGGATGGGCTTGGTCCCAACAGCTCCAATGGTTCTTTGCCAAGCACGGGCAGCACCAGGTGCGAGCTGCGTCCGGGAGGCTCGGATCCAGGATGCGTGGCAGATTGCCGACACGCACTGCAGCAGCTTCTTGCCGCACCAGGGCGCAGTCATGGACTTTGCTCTCCGGCTGGACAGGTGGGCGGGACGAGGTTGCTGCTGCCTGTGTGTTTGATGCACGTATGCAGGACCATGGCGCTGGCCGGGAGCCTCCCGTTTGAGCACAAGAAGTACCTGGTTGCGGTGGAGGAGACGCTAGGCGGCGTCCAGGTGGTGTCCGGGATCCTCACCATTGACAAGGTTGGCGACTTCTTGCCCCGGAGGAGGCCGTCTGGGTGCAGGAGGTAAACAATCAACCCATGCCCATGCCCATGCTAGATGATGCTCGTGAGAGCCTTACTATATAACTAGGACTGGCATTGCTTACGTCTCCAACGTTGCTGTTCGCCACGAGTTCCGACGGAGGGGCATTGCCAAGCGACTGCTCACACAGTCGGAACAAGTTGCCCGGGGTTGGGGCTGCCGCTCCATTGCGCTTCACTGCGACGCCTGCAATGGCGCCGCCGTTACCCTGTACAAGAGCCAAGGCTACCGGCGCGTCCCCGTGCCACTCAACGCCAAATGGCCGCAGCCCAAGGCTGTAGCGTCCTCCACCCTGCTACTCATGATCAAGTTGCTGATCAAGCACCCGGTGCCGTCGCATCACTCATCAAATGGTTGACATGCTAGCCGGATGTATCCTCTTTTCTAGAGCTAACCTTATGGTGGAATCGATGGTCCCAGGTTCGGCCATGGCCCCGTTGCCAAAGTCCCCACACGCCAGCTTCTTGGTTACGGGTGAAATGACCACCATCCCCAGCTCTTCGACGCTGCTCAGGTGGCGCTCTGTAAATGGGCTGTTCCACATGAAGGTGTTCATGGCTGGCGACACGAAGAGCAGCTTGGAGTAGTCCCATGCCCGAACGATGCACGACAGCAGGTTGTCGCACAGCCCAGCCGATATCTGCGCACCCAGCAAACGCGCGTCACTAGGCAGGCAAGCAGTGGAGAGGGAACAAACCTTGGCCAGCGTGTTTGCCGACAGCGGTGCGATCACCATGGCATCCGCCCACTGGCGAAGCTCGATGTGGAGCACATTGTCGCCCAGCTTCCGCCAGCTCGACCACTCCTCCTCGTCCGTGTAGAGCGTCACCGACGGCGGCAGGGCTTTTTTGTCGATGAAGTGCAAGGCGGACTTGGTGGCAACGGCCTTGACCTCGGCCCAGTCCGCCAGGCTCTCCGCCAGTATCCCAAACTTGATGGCCGCCACACTACCGCTCGCGGCCAAGATGATGCGTGGCTTGCGAACAGCGGCGGCCATCTATCCCTGCAGCCCTAGCCTAGCGAATCAACTCTTATTACGTTTATCGTCATCATCCAACAAGTCAAGCCTTTTGCAGATTGACGGAGTGAGAGGCCGCGAGCAGCGCAGCGCCCAGCCCCGACCCGTCCTTGGACAGCTCGATGACGACGTTGGCCGATCCTTCCTTGCCAAGCAGCTCCCCGAGTGCCTCGTGCAGGCACCCGCGGAACTTTGGGTAGTGCTCGTACAGCCCTCCGTCCATTCCCACCACGGTTCGCACGTCCTTCCCTTCCCTTCCAATCTTTCTCAGGATGCCCACAATGCCAGCGGCCACCAGCCGCGCACCGCGTTGAGCTGCAATGTCACATATCTCGATTATCACCTTGCGGGTCTCCACTGGCAGGCTGCGGACCTACACAAGCACGGAAAGAACGGTGTAGGCTGTGCACGGCAACAAGCGGGAGATTGTGGAGAGCACCCCAAATGCCGCCTTGATAACCTTGGCCACTTCTTTAAGGTCGGCGCTCTCGTCCGCATGCATGCCAGACACATCTGGAGTCCTGCGCGCGGCGCCCACAACCAGCCAGCGTGGTCATCCTAATCCTAATGGGGCTTACCTGAGAACGAATGGGGACGTGAGGTTCTTTGGTATGCTGCCGCCAAATAGGCAGGCATCCTGCGCAAGCTTGAGAATGACCCTCCTCACAATGTCACCCAGATACATTCCCGAAAACAGCTTCTCAAACGCCTACCAGGCACAGCTGCGTCAGCTGTACAAGCAATTGCAAGTATCTCACCTGATCTCCGGGGTTGACGCTGTCCGCGTCCAGGTCGTCGTCGACCTTGGTCTTTGGAAGGTGCGAGGACCAGAAGTTCCCCCATTCCATGTTGATCACCTGCAGTTGGCCGGCCTCGGGTTAGCATAAGCATATATAGGGGAGGAGAGCAAGTAGGATTCCCGGTACAGTAATTTCCGGCTTGGGAAGCCCCGACGGCCACTTGGGAATGGCACTCGTCTGCTCCACGTAGCAGGCATTGGAGCCCGTCCCCAGAATCAGCCCCATCATAACGTCGTCGTTGCGGTAACGGCCCCCCGCCAACGTCCCCGTCGTGTCGTTCACCTGCGTATCATTCGGCGTTAAGACAACAGTGAGCCTGTAAACAACAGTGAGTACCAGCGCAGCAACTCGCATGTCCACCTTCTGCCTCACCATCGCAGCTTGCAGCTCCTTGACAACGTCCTTGCCCACCTTGAGCAGCGCACACATGGAAAACGAAGATGGGCTTAATAGCTTAATAGCACAAGCAGCTAGTATACCGTCTCAGCTATGGCAAAGCCTTTGGTCCACTTGACGAGCGTTCCCGAGTCAATGGATTGCTGCGACACGGGAAATGAGAAAGTGAAGCCGAGCTCCCGTTTGTGGCCCGGAGCCAGCTTGCAGTCGTTACCCTCTTTGGCCACAAACTTGGCCAAGACTTGCGCAATGTAGTCGAACAGGTCCTGGAAACAGACGGCGTGCTTGGTTAGCTTCATTACCCAAGCCACAGAGCGGTCCATCCAACCTCATTGCTGCCAATCATCAGCCTTGGGGGAATGGACACCACCTCGTGCTCCTGCTTGACGATGCGCTTGTCCTTGCCACCCAGTTGGACTCTGAGGACTCTAAAATTGGTGCCCCCCAGGTCCAGCCCGTAAAACAGGCCACTCTCGTTCCTAAAGGGAGGAAAGTGTTACGTGTTGGTTCACAAGGCAAAGGTGGATCAAGCGCACCCCGAAGGCAACTTCTCCACAAACGAGAGCAGCATCTTGAGCTTGCTGCCACCGTCTTTGGCCAGCCCGGCAATCATCTCCGTGTGCATGTCCGCCGCCAGCTTCTGCAGCCTCTGCAGCGGCGTGGCGCAACCGTCCCGGAACTCTTTGATGGTGGCCTGCACCCGCCCCCAGTTGACATTCTTCTGCATCTGCTTCTTCACCACCATGGCTGCCACCGCGCACAACAGCGCGGTGCACACGAACAGCGCCACCGCAACCCCGGCCTTGCCCACATTCTCCACCACTTCCCGCTCCTCTGATCACGGGTGGTATAAACGGTGTTGTGACTGTGAGAGCGATCTTTACCTAGAGTCGGCCACGACGCGGCCACGCCCTCGTACAGCATCAACCACGCGTCCGTGTCCAGCAGGCCCATCACTCGCCACACGCGCTGCCGCTGCTTCCGTTTCGTTGTATCGTCCCTCCTAACCGAAATTGCCCAATTATGTATGTCTATAAACCACACCATGTACACCAACACGAGGCCCTTGAGCTCGTACACACTCACACAACCCAGAGAGTACAAATGCGTGGTCGCCATGGCATTCATGCGAGATAATTGTATACCTGAGGGTTGTTCTTGTCTCGCTCCAAGTACTCGCGGTCGATCAGGCTCTCGATACGTTTCTTCAAGTCCGCTGGCTTTATAGGGAACTTGAGCTGGTCACACACAAAAAACATATACAGCGTCGGCACCACATTCCAACAGCAGCCAGGCCTTACCTGTTGGAACAGCTCCGTTATCAGTAACGTGTGGCTCAGGACCTTCCTAGTCTTCATAATTCTTACAATGGCCGCATCAATCTGCAATCAAGCTCTCAAGTGAGAGGAACCCCAAGCAGCACCCATCCCCCCATGCAAACCTGATACTGCCGATCCTGGAATACTCTCTCTGTGGTACTTGCATTCTCTTCAACCGTCTCTTTCAGCTGTATTGCATTCACCTGAAAACAAAGGAGGATGAGGACGGCCAATTTCGCGTTAGGCATGTCCAAAACCTTGATCCGGAACAAAGGAGCCGTGAAGTCCTCATTGAACGTAAACACGTCGTCGTCCTCCACCTCTCTCCCTTTGGGTTGCTGGTAGCTCAACATGAGTCTAGCTAAAGAGAAGATTTCCGTGCCCACCTTTTGCAAAATTCGAACCTTGCCGCAAGCCAAGGACTGCAGAGTCCTGCGGAGCTCTTTGTCTTCAATACCCGTTGAGTCCTTTATGTCTTGAAAGCTAAGCCTTAATGAATCGTTGAAAAGCATAAGTACCACCGTCTGGGAATTTTAGCTTAGAACTTCCACACCACCGCTCAGAAAGGAAGCTCACCTGAAATAGTGAAACAGATAGTTCCCTCTTACCCTTGGGAAACTCGGCTTTCAAAACACAATGACCCAAAGAATTCTGCCACATCAGCCGCCTGCCACTGTGCTTGCTCAAGTAAAATTGCTTGAATATGTCCTGCGAGAAATGACAATTAAATCAAAACGCGAATTTTGATAGCCAGAACACGAGGCACCTGATAGACATTGAGTTCATGAGGAAGACGAATATCCATAGGCGGGTACGTAGGCCAATACCTGCGTGCATGCAAGGGCGTCAAATAGCAAAAACCAAGTGATCTGCTCATACCCAGTGGTCAACACATGCACATTCATCTCAATTCCAGCTGGTAGCTTTGTCCTGGCTTGTGAGGATTGCTTAAAGGACTCGTTTATTTCCCTTGAAAGTTCAATGTCCTGGGAACTCAATGCTCGGCAAAGATGCTGATTGGATACAAAAAAATACAGGCGTACCTTGAACATTCCTTCGAGTTTATTTGTAAATTGACTACCACACTCAGTTTTTAGCTGGAACACAACAAAGCTTAACGCTGAAACTAGTCAAGTATGAAAAAGTACCTTCGAAATCATGGACTTTTCAGCATCGATAGATGCGCTTTTGCCCAATAGCAAGCGTTTTGCCAGATCCTTTTTGTAAAATGCTTCAAAGACATCCTTACCCTGCAAAAATCAAAGAAAAGAGTCAGATAAAACCTATTCTAGATAAAGAGTAGCCTCACTTGAATGTATCTGAAAAGGACCAAAACTTTGTCAAGCATACTCTCGAGTTCTTCTTCAGACGTTCCTTTGTTCCCAGCTCTTAGCTTCCCATCTATAAATTTAGCAATGAGCTCCGCAGGTCGGTTCTAAAATCAGCACAGAACAAAACTCAGAAAAAATAACAACGTTGTTGTAAAAGTATTACCAACCTGTCTCAAATTTATAAGATGCTCAAACGCCTCTTTGATTGTGTTTGCAAACGGTTCGTTCTTCGAAAAGCTTTCCTCCCAGATCATATCAAGCCGGGCCTTGAAATCCAGCAGCGTAGAAACCATGTCCTTGTCCTTCTCCTCGTCCACGATAATGCTATGACCAGTTGCCTTGATGTACGCACTAAGGGCTTGCTTTAGAGACTCCAGTGCACCGACTCTGGCAAGTAAAAGGTACATACGGTGAAGGTCCGCGACACGATTTGCGTCCATAAGCATTCCAAAACCCTGCAAAGGCCGCGAAAGTAAGCCGTTGCGTACGAAAGGAAAAGAAGAACCTTATCCAAAATGGTGGGAGAATGGCGCTCAAGCAACTGCTTCTCTGAGGTAGATATCAAGTGCTTACGAGTGTTGGCGTCCAGATAAAGCAAGCATCTCTCGTTCTCTTCGTGCAACCTGGCCTATAATTCAGCATTCGAGGATCAACACCAGCGCTACAGCAGAAAACCTGCATACCTCTACGTGCCTAAGGTAGTCAGGCACATCAGTCTGTTGCATGTATCGTGTTCCTTCAGCCGCGTAAAACTCAGCCGTGCAGTCGATAAATGGTTTCTCAAAGCTTTCACTGTATGTTCCAAGCGCACTAAACATTCTCAAGAGATGCTTAAGAAGTGTGCGATCAACAGTTTCCCCCGTCCTGAGCAATGCAGAAAGATAGTTAAGAGTGCTCCTCGATGTCTATCACTGCTTTGCGTACCTTTCCTTCTCAATGAGCCTCAGTATCCCAGTAACTGTCTTGTGCTCAACCTCCGGACAAGACGTGAGATGCTTCCGAAAGAGCTGCAAGCCCATGTCCCAGAGTGAGCGCACGCTGGAGTTTTGTATGACGTAGGTGCGGTCAAGGTAGAGCGCAATGCTCCTTATCATGAGCATTTGGTCGCAGTGATCCTGCCAGCATCTTTCCACATGGGAGAGAAAGACGACGGGATCAGGGCTCTGGCCGACCAAAGCATTCAGCTTGGCGGAAATGTGCGTTTCACATTCTTGTTGCAGACGCTGGTACAGGTTTCCCGAAAGCTTGTGCAAGCACAGATCTTCCACGTTCTGAGACACACCCGATGAAGCAAAACAGAAGATTTTGAAGGAGAAGAACGAATACGATACCTGATAGAGCTGCTCGAGACTACAAGAGACGGGCTGCTTTACGTGGATGGCGCTCACGGCGGCTCTAATCTTGTCCCAGGTAGCGTCTTCAAAGTTGGCCGGCAGCTTGGGCTTGTCTGCCAGAAATGCGACAGGGGTTTAAGGAAAGGCTTTGAAGGATGGAATGGATACCTTTGAAGGGCTTGATGACCAGCTTCTTGGTCGGCTGGGGCGGCGTTGCCTTCTTGCGGCTGAGATTGGCCGTTGTCCCGGTGCTGTTGCTTCCGCCGGCGAGGCCGACTGCGGTGACGGGGCTGGCCACGCTCAGCCCGTGGCCCGTCGCCTTGACATCCACAACCATGCCCTGCTCCGAGCTCAAGCCTTCCACCCCATTCTTGTCCATGGCGGCAGACTCGAGTGACTTGGGCTTCTTGGTGGCGGACATGATGATGGTGGAGGGGGAGTCGCCGCCGCCGCCGCCGCCACTCGCACAGCCGCCAGGGGTATTGCTGCTGCTGAGGCTGACCAGCCTGCGCTTCTGAGACATGAAACTGGGCAGCCCGCCGGTCTCAGCTACCGAGAAGTGTCCGCCCTGCCCTTGCAGCTCGCCCCCGCATTCCTGCGCAACCCTAAAAACAGGACCCCCCCCTCCCCTTACACCTAGGCCTAGGGCAAGGCAAGCAGGGATGGATGGATCGCGCGAGCTGCCCATTGACATCGCCTACGCCAAGCTAGCGGGTGCGTACGCTCTGAGCCCTCTGCTTGACCCACTAGCTGGCTGCGCGCGCAGATTGGCTCGTTGATCGCCGCTGGATGCATGGCGAGTGGAGGAAGAAACTCGCGCAGGTCCGTGCCAGAATCGCCCCGGCGTTTGCTCGCCTGCCCAAGCAGGGCGACCCATGGCTGCTGAGCTTGAGCCCAGAGTGTGAGTATATCCGTCGCACTCCCCCCCGCCCTTTGACAGGCTCTCTCCTCGGTGGCATGGCAGCTGTGGGATACCTGGAAGCACGCAGGATCCGGGACATCGCCCTCAGCACAAGCGCCGCCCAACCAGACAAGGGTGTCTTTGCCCGGCTAGCCGCGTCCGGTCCAGGGGTATGGGAATGCACTCTAGCTACACTTCTCACCTTCCACGCAGAGGGAATGGGACGCCATTGTGCATGCTTACGAGAAAGACAATCTCTATCTGGGCGAGGCCGCGCAACTCATGCTCCACAACGTGAATTACGACATGTAAGCCTCAGCAGCTTTGCTCCACCACTGACTTGCGTCGCAGCCCCTTTGTAAAGAAGCAGATCGCCAGGCTGCAACAGCAGCTGGCAGACCTGGAGCGTAAAGAGGCCGAGTTCAAGCGCAATGCCCTTGCATCGGCTTCCAAGTACCAACACGCCTGCCGGGAGCTTGGCATCGCAGTAACTTGTGTTCCCGCCGCCCTCGCTTGTGGCTGACATTCGATGTGCCAGGGAGTGAACGTGAGGAGCGAGCTCTTGGCCAGCGTCAGCTCTTTGCCTGGGATTCTCTCCACTCTCAAGGACATCCTTTGTCGTCGCAGAGTTGATGACGCCGTGCACCTCTATGAGGTCTATGCCTCGTTTGCTCACACGCACGCTCAGGTGAAAAGCGCTTGCAACGCTTGCTCTTCTCATTTCGCCGCCGCCCTTGCAGGTTCAAGGCTCGGTCCTTCTGGCAGCTTTGAAGGATGTTCGGGACACTCCGTTGGAGGTCGGGACCGACTTTCCTCCCCATGATAACACTGATCCTGCAGCAGGAGTGCCTGGCGCACAAGGCGTCCAGTGTGGCCAGCTACCTGAGGCTGCTACTCAGCTGGAAACTGACGAGATACAATGGGATATAGATCTGGCCGACACAAGGCTAGTGGAGTCCAAGTGTGACGACAACGAGGAGAGCGCGGGAATCGTGTGGGATATTGACGTGGAACAGGGTGCTGAAGGTCACGAGGATCCATTGGGATTCGAAAAGGCTGGTTCGGCAGTCCAAGGCTATGGCTCTTCTCTTGCTCCGTTTTGTCGCCTGGTGGACTCCCAGTATCGAAACAATCTTCTGAGTGATCTCCTTGAGGTGAGCCCCTTGGCTTGTTTCTCGTGTATTAACGTGCAAAAGCTTTGCTTTGTTTTGCAGGTGAGAGCATTTCTTGTTCAGAGAGTGGAGGAGCTGGACAACAGTGCGACAGCAGCACTGCAGAGCCAGATACAGGCAGTTGCCTCGGCGTCTTTACCGCAATACAGCTCCCAGGTCTTGAAAGAAATGGGGGGCGACATCTCCGTAGCGCTGGACTTGGTGACGAGCAGCAGGACGAGAGACTTGGTGCTCATGTTAACGTCGGAGAGGTACGGGTAGCGCGTATTTTGTGGGCGACGGCTTGCTTGGATTTGCTTTGCAGGTTTGTGGACAGGCTAGAGGCGTCACTCAAGGAGAAGAAACAGAGCGAGGCCAAGTGTCTCAACAGCTTGAGGGATGTAGAGCACAAGAAGGTGGAGCTTCGGAACGCTTTGTCGTCGTCATGGCCCAAGCAGGTAGGTGCCGCTCCGGCGGCTCACACACGAGAATCTGACCGTGCTTGTGCGTGTGCATGGGTTGGCATCAGGAAGAGCTCGTCTCCAAGACGCGAGAGCTCAAGCGCAGCGTGGAGGAGGCCCTGTCCCGCCTCTACAGCGGCAGGCTCGTCAATATAATCGGGGAGATAAACGTTGTTGTGTAGAAACAAAGGGTTCGACTCGCAAAAGATAAAAGTAGGGGATTAGGGTTTGAGAGTGTAGGGGAAGGGCTAGGGTTTTGGAGCGGGACGATGCCGCCGAAGGATGGGTCGGGAGCGCGACAAGAAGCAGTGGCAGGCCAAGGGAGCGTATGCGGCGGCGGGAGCTTACTCATCACTGCTAGCCAAGCAGCAAGAGTGGCAGAGCAGTAGCGTGTGTGCGATGAGGGATCCCCTGTCGCGAACCAAGGTTGTGGTCCGCCGCCTGCCTCCCACACTCTCGGAAGACGCCTTGGTGTCTCGGATCCAAACCAGGTTTGCCAGGCCTTACCTGTGGATGCTGTTCCGGCCTGGGAAATCGACGTGAGTCCCAATTCCGCGTTTGCTTTCTCCCTTGAGCTGGTTTAGAGGTTCCTCCTTTCTTTTGCAGCCACAGAAACCAAATCCACTCTCGCGCCTATATCGAGTTCGAGAGGCCAGAGGACGTGCTTGCTTTCCATGAGGATTTCCATGGACATGTCTTTGTGAACGAGAAAGGTGGGGGCGCCTCCTTTTCACGGTCTTACCAAATGGTCAAGCTTGCAGGCTCGCAGTATAAAGCCATGGTGGAGTACGCACCCTACCAACGCGTGCCGGATTTGCGAGTGAAGAAGGACGGTCGCGAAGGAAGCATCCTGAGAGGTACCTCACCTTTCGATTGACAAGGCATTTGTGTTGCGACACTGCTGGACAGACCCGGATTACTTGGAGTTTGTGGACACGTTGGGTAAAGCAGCCGAGCTTCTGCCGAGTGCCGATGTCCAGCTGGAAAGGCCAGGTTTCTTCATGTGATTCTCATGCGAACACTATACCGTGCCTTTTGTTCCCAGGCTCGTCCAGAGAAGGTGTTATAGTTACGCCCTTGATGGAGTATGTCCGCCAGAAACGAGCAGCCAAGTCTGCCCAGGTAGAGATTGCATTGATCTGCTTTAGCGGACACTCTTACACTTCATGCACAGAGAGCAGCAAAAGCAGGATTTCGCGCTGGTTCTATCATGGGGCCTCCACCTTCGGGCTTCGTCATCCAGAAGCGTGGTGATAAGGGAAAGGCTGTGGTAATGATTGCCGCTTGTGCAATTACGTCTGTGACTTACGGGTGTGCTTTCAGCCGCCAGCAGATGCCAAAGATTCCCCCACGTATGTGCGCCGGGAACACAAGAAACGGGAGTTCAAGGAAAAGAAGCAGAACCGCGAAGCAGGGGACGAGAATGGTCATTATAAAGAGGCAGATGAAACACCAGCAGGTTGAAGCGGAGTTACTGAGATCTTTGTTAACATTCTTCACGTGCAGGCGAGGGTGATCCCAAGCCGGTGGACTCAGATGCGCTAAGACACACCCGTAGGCCGATCAAGGACAAGACTGTAAGCTGTCTTGTCTTCCTGCAGTGGGTTTTGAGAGCAAGCCTTGCAGGATTCCGGATACAATTCACGTGGGCGCCCCCCGGTATCTCCTGGGCAGTCGCCTTCAACGTACAAGCATTCGGGCTACAGGGCGTCCAAGTTGCAGGCTGCGAGGCAATCCGTGGCGGAAGCAGATTCTAGCGCAACAACGGATGGTCGGAGGCTGAGAAATAAGGATCGGCCTGACCGTCCTGTTTGGACCCCTCGTCGACGCCTGGATTCCATGGATTCTGGTGAGACGTTGAGATCTTCATCTTGCTTGTTTATCACGCTCCGCACACGTGCAGAGGGTGATCCTGGAGATGTAAAGTGCGACACCAGGCCCCGGCTGGGAAGCGACCTTGACAACGAGACGGACGGGAGAAATGGTGCTGTTGAAAACGGTAGACAAGCCTTAGCCGGTGGTTTGATTTGTTTAACTCGCTGGCTTTGCTTCATCAGGTGCATTTCGTCGGAAGGGTCCTAGAGACTCTGAGCATGTGGCTGCCAAGAGGGGAGGTGCAGCGTCAACACCCTTCGGCTGCACAGAGGTAGGGTTCTATGTCGGTGCCAAAGGCTCATTCTTGTTCTTGGTGCTACGTGCAGAAGCAGGTGTGGGTTGCGGTTCAGAAAACAGGTAAGCCACGCCTGCCTGCTTGTCGTGTGGGCACCTGATTGAGTGCACTGCAGGATGAGTGTACTATCTAACTCACAAACGGGCGGACAACCAGCATGCATGCGGTGCTGCTGTGATGAGCCGGGTGCGAGGCCGGCTGAGAAGGCAGCTTGGATCCATCGGTAAAGTGGGCTTTGAAGCGAGACGACGCGACGCGCCGGCAGCCGGGCCTTCAATTTTTCGGAGACGGAGGCAAAGAGGAAGAGGTACATACGTACATGTGAAATGTATAGAGGACGCAACACAGCCTTTTCCTTGTACCTATGTGAAGGAGCCGGAGACTGTGGATTTTATATAAGTTATATATGTGGGTTTTCTTTAGAAGAGGAGAGATCAGCTAGATCTGGCCAATCTTGATGCGCGATGTTACCAGCGACTCCTCGGAAGCGAGCTGGTGAAGTGCATCGACGAGATGCATGGCGAGCGAGGCGGGGCCGCTGGCTTTCTCCATTCCCAGCTCGCCGGCGAGGCCAAAGATTGCGAGAGCGAAGGCAGCAGCCTCGAGGGCCCGGGGGGGCGGGTGGACGGAGACGAAGGCCGCAATGAGGCCAGTCATGGCACTCCCGGATGCTGTGATCTTGTGCATCATGGGCACGCCGTTGCTCACGCCCAGCACGCGCTTGCCGTCGGTCACCAGGTCCATGGCTCCTGACACGCAGACGATGGATTGAGAAATGCGCGCCAGCTCCTTGGCAGCCTCGAGGCCATCGCTGGTGGGGTTGGAGCCATCCTAGGGGGAAGACTTGACAAGTTACGAGATGCTGCTAGCTATTGCTCTACCTTGTTGGGCGACGCCGAGGCCCCGGCGAGGGCCATGATCTCCATCTGGTTGCCCCGGATGACGGTGGGCCGCAGGTTGATCAGCTCCAGGCACTTGGCGGTGCGAAACTTGGTGGCACCAGCGCCCACTGGATCCAGCACCCATATCTTTTGGAGCTCCTCAGCCTGCGCAGCCGCCACCTTCATGGAGAAGAGCCACTCGGGCGACAGCGTTCCCACGTTGATGCACACGGCATTGGCCCGGCTGGCCGTGAACTCGCGGATCTCTTCCACGGCATGCACCATGGCCGGGCTTGCTCCAGTCGCCATGACAGCGCTAGCCATGAGCTCCATGGACGCCGAGAAATCGGTGATGCACTGCACCACGGGAGCGGCATCGCGCACCCGCATCAGCGCCTTCCACGCCTCACTGCCCCACGACGCCCGGCTCAAGTCCCGGAAGCTGGCCATTGCCTTAGGGTTTCCTTGTGATGGAGGTCGAGGATGCGGCCACTCCGCGCAGGTCGTCCACCAGGATCCGGAAGCTTGGCGTCAGGCTCGAGGAGGCTCTGCTCGACCCAAACGCCAGGCAACAGGTAGTCAGTCTCCCCTTGGCATTCATCCCATGTGTGTATAGGCCATCCAAGCTCGCCTGGACGCGCTCGAGAATGACAACGTTGCAATGGATGCTGTCGCGGCTGCTGCCTCCGAGGCTCAGCACGACGATGACTTCATGGGCGACGACGATGCAGGTGGTCTCTCTCTCTCTCTCCTGCCCTTGTCACGCTCTCAATGTTGCGCACTCCAGTGTTCGTCCACAAGCGACCACCCAAAGGAAGCAAGCGCAAGACGAGGCAATCCTTGGCGTTGGAGAGGAGTGCCAGCAAAGGGCCCAAGTCGTTCCTCGACCTCCTTGAAGAGGTATGTGGTGGGTGTCTCTCACACCTCAATCTCTCATGGCGTGCTCTCTCTCGCTAGGCCAACCTGGGGGAATCGTTGCCGCCTCATGTCCCGTCGTACGTGAGGGCTGGCGTTGGGCCGCCAAGCCGGGCGTCGAGGCGTCACTTTTGCGCGGTGTGTGGCTACAGTGCAAACTACACATGCCCACGCTGCGCTGCTCGCTTCTGCTCCTGCCACTGCCAAACCGTCCACAATGACACCAGGTGCCAAAAGTTCGTTACCTGACTCGCTCTAGCGCCGCTGCCCCCGCCGTCACCTCAAACCAACAGCTGCATGGAGCATATAATCAGCCTCTGCGTGTGTAATATGGAACTACCTCGTTGGTCTTGTTGCACCGCGCCCGCACCGTTGCAATCAACTCTGGGGTACTCAGTTCTCTCTGCCCACAAAGTGCCAACATACCAATATCTGTAAGAGAGAACGAACTTACACGACGGTGATGCTCATGATCAAGCCGGCGAGAACCGCCCTCATCGCTCTTCTTTTCTGTGCCACGGAGCCGCTCCTGCAACATGAAGAGTGACAAGTGACGCCACCACTCAACTGACGTTACATTGAGCACGTCCTCGAGAAGACGGATGCGTCTCTCCGCGCCACTGAGCTGAGCCTGATAAGATTGCAACATAAATACTGCCAGCGGAGCGGATTAGCACGACTTGCCTCCATCTTCTTTCTTGCTCTCTTAAGAGCACGCTCAAAGCTACCAAACCGTGGCTCAATAGTTGCATTCAGCTCATGCTGAAATTCCAGCCACCCGCTCAATACTATGCTTACTTTGGCAACTAAAAGCCACTTACAATCCTGGTCTTGATTTCGTCATGAAGCAAAGCAGTGATGGCATCTAGCATTTTGCGTGGGTTCTTTGGTTCTTGTGGCAATGTTGCATTTGGGACAAGGATGTCAACCCTTCTTGGAAGACTGGAATTGAAAAAAGCCGCTGCATCTCCATGTGCCTGCTTAGATTTACACAACAAAGGTTGGAGAGCTACTGTGGAACAAACCTTTGTATTTTTCTCAGGCATGTCACCACCTTTCTTGAGCCCCCACGGCACAGTGCGGTAGCAAGTTAAATCAAAACGGCATTTCTTGACGGCATGTCTTGCTATAGCTACCTAGACACAGAAAGCGCGGAGGGGGGAGAAGATGCACCACCGCAGACAGTGTTGTTTTATCTTCTTGAGTAGCAAAACGGGATAGGAACCCTAGAGACACTCCTAGGGCAGCGGCGGGTGGGGCGGGGCGCGGCGCGGCGCGGCACCATGATCGGGCTCCGGGGAGGCCCGCAAGCGACCAGCTCCGTCTACGTCTGTAACCTGCCTGCCGGGACCGATGAGGCGCTGCTGGCAGAGCACTTTGGACAGATTGGGGTCATCAAGGTAGGCACAGTGCATTGCGGACGGGCTTTTTTCCTCTTTAAGTTGAGCGGTAGCGGTGCGTGCAGAAGGACAAGCGGCACGGACGGCCCAAGATCTGGATATACCGTGACAAGGCCAGCAATGAGCCCAAGGGGGATGCCACTGTCACTTACGAAGATCCACATGCTGCCTCGGCCGCCGTAGAATGGTTTGACAACAAGGAGTTCCACGGGAACTTGATTCGAGTTTCCATTGCCGAGTCCAAGGCGAGAGACGCAGCCACTGAGCAGCAACTCCTGGTGCTTGCGGAGCCCACTCTTCCACTACCACTGCCGCCTGCCGCCCCAGAGGTGGGTGACGGGCTTGGTGGCGCTGGCGAGCTCGCGTCCGATGCGGCGGCTGATGGCGGCAGAGGACGTGGACGTGGTGGTGACGCCGCTGCGAGCGCCAAATGCTGGCAACAGGAAGGGGATTGGCCATGTCCAAATCCAAGGTCTGTTGAACTTGGTGAGCAGCTCAATCAGCTCTCTCTCTCTGTCTCTGTCTCTGTCTCTGTCTCTGTGCATGGGAAGTATAGGTGGCTATGCATCCATCTCTGCGCGCTTGCTGCCTTGCTACTTTCTTATCCTTTGGCCGTGCCTTGGTCTGCCAGTTGTGGGAACATAAACTTTGCGTTTCGAGGCTCCTGCAACCGCTGTGGCGCATCACGGCCGTCGAGTGGGAGTGGAGGGGGTGGAGGTGGGCGTGGCAGAGGACGTGGTGCCGACTCCGCCGGCCGTGGTGGACGCGGCAGTATTTTCGGCCCAAATGACTGGAGTTGCCCAATGTCAGCTCTCTGCTTTGCTCGTCTCCTCATTCTCACGGTTTGTCCTTGTTTGGTATCTTAGGTGTGGAAATACCAACTGGGCCAAACGGACCAAGTGCAACATTTGTAACACGACCAAGCCAGGCCACACGGAAGGTGGTGTCCGGTAAGTAAAATTTTGTCAACCTTGTGCTTTACTCCCCCTATCATCTGCGGCAGGGAAGGGCGCGCGGGTGGCTACAAAGAGTTCGATGAAGCCGAAATTGAAGAGACGAAACGCCGGCGAAAAGAGTTGGAGGAGGTACGCACGCTTCGTCTCATTTTCTATACACGTCACCTTGCGCGCAGGACGACGGTGAAATGTACGACGAGTTTGGCAACCTCAAGAAAAAGTTTCGCCTCAAGTCTAAACAAGGTGAAGCTCCAGGTCAGTCGTTAGGTACCGTTGGCTGGGACAAAGAAGATCTAGGGTACGTAGAGATTCGAAGGGACAAACGCAACAAAGAAGATCACAATGGCGCTCGCAGCAGTGACGAGGGTCAACGTAGAAGTTACCGAGAAAGGTATGACAGTGATAGGTACAAAGAGAGGGATTACCGTGAGCGCAATAGAGGCAAAGATCAGGTGAGAGAGAGACGTGGAAAATAGATATTATTAATTTTACAATGAGGTTCTTATCGTTTTACTTTACCGTACAGATATACTTAATTTGTTCACTTGCAACTGCAAGCATTAATTGGATGTCTCCAAATACCTCTAGCTAGTTCTTCTCATCAAAAGCCTTGTTTGAAGTTTTGGATGCTTTCAAAATATTCTAGAAGCCCACACTCTCATATTCACGGGATGACCTACTAGCAACGACTGAAAACCCTGCCCCTCAGTGTCAACCTTAATAAATCACAGAGCATGCCCTTTGCTGTGGTCAGAGACATGAGCTACTTCAGGTAACCACCTACAAGTACCTTGGTCCTAACTATGGCTGGACATGGGGCACTGCTTCAATTGGCCAGGTCAGTGATATTGTAAGCCAAATCCTTTTCCCAACGCTACTAGACTTAAAGTAGCATTGTTGTGAGTGTAGTATTGCGAAATGTGGATGTTGTGAATTAGTAGTTTGGTGTTGGATTAATTTTGAGTTTAGTTGGATAGAGAGTGGCATGAGTTTGTCCATGTTGTGAATAAAGTTGGTGGTGTTCAGTGTTATAAATTTTTATCGGTGGGGTGTGGCATTTATATTGCATTTTATTAAATCAAGTTGGCACTTGATACTCACGTAAACTTTTGAAATAATAATATAGGCTTGTTCATGGTATTACTCGGTTGATGATTAAGTCATTGTGATTTTTATATTATATCCATATGATAATGAGAAATGTGTTTATGAAGTTACTTGTGTGAGACACAAATCCCTATGCCCTAAAGTGGACCTAAAAGGAAGCCACATGATAATGGTCAAAGTAGAAGTTTAACAAGCATTACATGTTTTGACCAAAAGCTCCAACTTAGAAGGTCGAAAGTAGGAGTGAAACTCTGAACAAAGTAATTGGTGAATAAGTCTCTAAAAAGGGATATAAGAAGGATTGACACATGGCAAGTGTCATGACACATGGAAATGTCAGGAATGAGTCCAAAAAGGAGTCTATTTTGATCTTCAAAATATTCCCTATCTTCGTTATATAAAATCCTTGCCCCACAAGGCCAAAGGGGAGGAGGGGGCATTTGTGAAGAGCATTGGAGCATTTTTCATGTTTGAGTAAGCATTGGGGGAGGTGCCCCCTCGTTCCCCCAACAAATAGTGAATCCGGCATGATATGCAATGCTTTCTATTGCATCATTTTCCTCTTTTTCTTTGAGCCATAGACTTTTAGGAGCAATTTCTTGTTTGACTTGCAGCAGTTTTGCTTGATTTTAGGTGCATTGGATAGGTCTTAAACTCTTCTTTCCAGCAAGGTACAAGCCTTGCAATATTTGAGGAGATACAATGTTTTTTGGCTCAATTGAGTGAACATTTTAGTTTCTCTTTTCTTGTCTAGATTTTCAGCCCAATTTCTCTAGACATGGGTTTGTAGATTTAGATCTATAAGTAGAAGTGATTTCTGGTGTTGGATTTGGGAGAATTTGTGGCATGTAAAAGGTTATTCTTCTCTGGCTAAATAAGGGCATATTTACAATAGAAATTCATGCTTCTCCAAGCTTTGTTTTGGATGCCATATGTTTCTGAAAGTGCTTCTGGTCCTAGGCTTTCTGAAAATATTAACAGTGCCTTGGTATTGATCCGGATTAGTGATATATATATATTTTTCCACAAAATTGGTGTTCTGAGCTATGTTTTCTTGGATCTCATAGGATATTAAGGCGTTTTCATCACAAATTCTTGGAGTAGTGTGGTAGATGGGGCTAAGCTCTTTTTAACAAACCTCCTTACAGTCAAAATGGTAAAAGATCGAGACCAAAGTACTCATTTTTCTCTTTTGGGCTAAACTTTGATGAGAGTTTCTTGGGAAAGAAGCAACCTTCAAGGAGTAGGAGTAGAAGTTGGTGTTGAAGTAGGCACAGGAGGAGTTGGCTCTCAAGTAGGTGCTAGAATAGGAGCAAGAGCAAGGGGTTACCAATGTAGTATTCAAGGTATTTGATGCTAGTATAGACTAAGCATGTAGCAAATTGGCTCCCTTTTACAATATCTCAAGGCTCTAAAGTATGGAGTAAACTTTTTGGCATCCAAAGGCAGCTTAGGTATGACAAGGTACCTTCTCAAGTCAAGTCTTCTTCATCCTCGGTAGATTCTAGTGACTTAGATCTACAAGTTATGGCACAACCACCTTTAACTCGACCCCAGCTCTATGTTTTGCAAGAAAGGAGTTATCTGCCAACCTTCTCAGATGTTGGAACAGTCAAAGAGCAAGGGACAAAGGCCCTGAGTTCAACAACAATGTTTTCTCCTTTGCCACCTTTGAAGTTTTGTCATTGCTGGACCGGCCCCTACTTTGTCCAACTCCATAGTGGAGGTGGAGCATACGTGCTAGTAGATGCTGATGGATGTGAGCTCCCATACGCTCACAACCACTCTCACCTCAAACGCTTCATCTGATGAGGAGTTCCTCTTCTCTTTTTTCTCTTTTGCTTCCTTTCTTTCACTTTACTTTCATAACTTCTTTTATTACTTTCAGAGGGTGTTTCTACATTAGACCATGGCTCTTGCCTTGGATTTTATGCTTAGGTTGCATTACTATTTGTATGGATGTTCCTCACTTGGCTCGGTCTATGTTCTAGGTTTTTTGGCCTTTCCCTTACCATTACTCTACCACACATTCCCCACACCCATTCCATATCATCTACACTCATAGATCCATCACCAATCACTCCCAATAGCATTGCCCACACTTACCTCTAGATGCCTATCTTGTATCTTTCATTCTTTCACCATCATCCACATTTTTGTTTGAGGTCATATTTACACCATACCACAGATACATGTACATGCACCAGCAGCAGAAGACACCACATCATTTGGATGTGCTATTTTCAAGATATCATTACGACCATTTGCCAATGACGTGGTAGTTTTTCTAGAGCGACCTTCTTCCAACCAGGTGAACCTGTTCACTCAAGGCACCTAGGTGGATCTTTAGACAAGGCTATAAAAGCTGGAGCCACTTTCTCCTGCTCCAACACTCAGTGGACACATGCCACCTCTCTTTACCAGCAATTCAGCGACTATGCCATCTTTTTCAACTACTAGTTTCTTTAGTCTGACACGTCAGACTATGGGCTTAACACTTTCAGAGATGGCCACCTTCTCAAAGTGCCACCACCATCTAAGCACTCCACCATATCACTCCATCCTTCATCATTTCTACACCACCCTTGGGCAATACATCCCTTCTTTTACCTCTCTTTCTTTCTCAATTTTGGCCAATCCTTGAAGCATATTTGAAGTCATCATAAGGTTGCATTTGTATATTACACTTTTTTGAGCCAAAATTCAAGTACGGGTTAAGTACTCACTCTTTTTCCTTTATTTTTCTTCTCTTTTCACACTTTTCTGCACTTTTTCTTTTACATCAAAGTCTAGTTTGATTACATGGTTTCCCATTGGGTTTTCCTCCCTATCTTCAAACTTCACACCTACCTCTTTTCTTTCTTTTTCCACTTTGTTTTCCACATCTTCTACTTTTCACATAGTTACCAGTACTTGGCATCAACATAAGAGGTACACTCTACACTCTTTGGAGGGTTCTCATGCGTCTGGAGTCAATGCAATCCACCATAGTTGCATGCTAGGGCATGGCCACTTAGAGAGTGTGTGTGAGAGAGAGAGAATATTTTGATCCTCAAAATATTCCCCATCTTCCTTGTATAAAAATCGTTGCCCCATAAAGGCAAGGGGGGGTGTGGGCGGGGGGCTTTGGGGTGCACTTGTGAAGAGCATTGAAGCATTTCTTGTGTTTGAGCGAGTGTTGGGGGAAGCACCCCTCTTTCCCCCAACATTTGATATGGACCCAAGATAAACCCGAGATGGAGTCCAAGATGGAGTCCGATACGGACTTGAGATGGACCTAAGATGGAGTCTAAGCTAGACATGAGATGGAGTCTAAGATGGACCCGAGATGGAGTCTGAGGTCAAGTCTAAGGTCAAGTCCGAGATGGAGACTAAGATTGGGTCTGAGGTCGAGTCTGAGACTGAGACTGTAGCGCACCTGAATTTGGAGCCAAAATCCAAGCCCGTTGCGCTACGAAACGAGGGTCCAATACAATCCCACGAGCACCAGCTCCCCGTATCTAGCACTTGCACGCAAAATGGTGTCAGACGGAGTCTGGCACAATTTTGGCATACCGGTGACCTAACGCGAGAAGGAGGGTACTCCACCAACTAGAGCAGCGTGGAGCTTGGGCTTAGACCCAAGCCAAACGCAGAACAAGGAGCGACACAGCCCAGCGGGAGCCAAACTAATGTCTTAGGTGGTCGGACATGCATTCCAACCACTATCCCTACTATACATTTGGAACCCCCCACAGCCCCCCCCCCCCCCGAGGAACACACGCTTTGGGCTTTCACCCCAAACCTCCCTTAGTACCAGGAGTTAGTCTCTGGGACAAGCTCGAAACTTACTAATTATAGAATGTCCTTAGATTGCGAATTTGGATACGAGATGAACACCATTGTGTTCAGGCCGATCTTTACATTCTGTAGATATGCCAAATGAGCTAATCTAAACACTTTCCATAAATAGCATTTAGGACCGAAATGAGACCAACACAAAAGGCGTGATAGCGAGAGTGTTTGGCAGACACGGTAAGCTATCATCCGGCGAATATTGAGGGACTAGTCTCAATATCGCAAGGGTTCTTGTCACTAGCAAGTGCAAGACAAAACGAGACGGGAACTCCTTACTGGGCTAAGTATGCTCAGCTAATAGCACGTAGGAATTCCGTCCTTATGCTCGTCTAGTTTAAGTACACTCAAAATGCCCAGTTAACTCCACTAACACAAGAGGGGCTACTAAAGGGATCCAACTATACCGATCTCCTACCGTCATGGCAGTAAGGAAAGAGTGTTCGTAAGGACTGGTTGACAAGTATCTTTCGATACCCGAAGTCACATTCGCGACAGAGACCGATACCAACACTGACATCGAGATTGAGTTCAAGTCCAAGTTCAAGTCTAAGTTCAAGGGTGAAAGCCCT